TATCTTAGAAAAATCAGTACCTCTATTTTGTGGCAGCAGCCGGTTTAAATCTGCAATGGGAGTTTGGGGAATGGTTTTGTTCTTAAGAACAAAGCCCCTTGGCAGGGAAATGGTAGGTATGCAAATTGGTGCAAATTGGTGGTCTGGCCACGTAAAGGCACCCAGCAGCCAGGTTGGGGTGAGACCAGCCGCTGGGACATGTCGTGACAGCAGGGGGCTGGGTCTGAAGGGGGATTGTGCACAGCCTGTCTGGTACCGACTCTCTAAGGAAGTGAGTGTGCAAGGCTCAGTTTCCACATCTGCAAAAGGTTGGTTTTCAAATAGGTAATAGCGTCAAACTTAAGCTGACATCAGGTCAGTAAACAAAACTGACAACTGGCCGGGCGTGGTGGCTCACGCCTATAATCCTAGCACTCTGGGAGGCCGAGGCGGGAGGATCACTCAAGGTCAGGAGTTCAGCACCAGCCTGAGCAAGAATGAGACCCCATCTCTACTAAAAATAGAAAGAAATCAATTGGCCAACTAAAAATATATAGAGAAAAAGTTAGCCGGGCATGGTGGTGCATGCCTTTAGTTGCAGCTACTGGGGAGGCTGAGGCAGGAGGATCATTGGAGCCCAGGAGTTTGAGGTTGCTGTGAGCTAGGCTGACACCACGGCACTCTAGCCCGGGCAACAGAGTGAGACTCTGTCTGCCCCCCCCCCAAAAAAAAACCGACAACATGTAGAGCAGCTCTTTGGTTCAGGGAGGGTACTGGAATCCCTCCTCCCCAGCCTTCCTCCTCCCCAACCTCCCTTCTTCCTACCCTCCCTCCTCCCCAGCCAGGAGGAGGCATTTATGGTGTCTGCTTCTCCCAGGCAGCCTAAGGAAGGCTCCACCTGCGCGGTAGGTGCACCCAACACCCCGCCTCTGCCTCTTCTTTGCTGAGCCCCACAGGGCGAGGCTTAGGTCAACACTGGGTTTAGATTCGGCCACCGGCTCTGTGAGCCCTTAGCCAGGGCTTCACTGTCTTGTCCTGGGCATCTGTCAAGTCTGGTGGAAACTAAAAAGGTTTGTTTCTCTTTCCTTCTCACAGAAGAAATAACAGGCTGTGCATTTGCATAGTCAGAAAGGAATGGATGAGGCGGCTCTGACATCTCTTCCATTTGATTCTTAGGATTCTCAAAGTCCTCGCTTAGCCTGGGGGATAGCTCGGAGCCCCGTAACCGCCCCCTAGATCAGAACTGTGTAGTGATGGCCCGCAAACCCTTCCCTCTCCCACCTCCTGACACTGTTCCTTTTTACTTCTTCCATTTTTATTTCTTTGTACGTATTCTTGTTTCTTTGGCGAAGAGTGGGTGGCAGGCACGTGTGTGTGTTTTTGTGTGTTTCTGTATGTCACCATATGTTAGCAACCTAGAGGCAGATTTTAGGCACCCAAACCCCCTTTTGTTTAAGTATTTAACCAGATGAGAAACCAGGGGACAGAGAGAAAGTGTGGGAAAAGGGAATTATAGGCAGGAATCATGGGAGAAGGTTTCACCTGGCTGAAGGGGACCCCAACATCCACAAAGGAGTTCTTTCTCCCTTGAAGCACTGAGTCTTTTTTAACACGGTAGCTCCTTCAGGCTATAGGGAGTAATCAGTTACAGGGTTTATTTTTTAGGCTTTTTTTTAAGATTATAAATAATTCATGCTTGCTATTAAAAGAAAGACTGAGTTGTGTAAAGTAAAAATTTAAATCTCCCTTCACCCATATGGAAGCTACTAGCATTATTATTGATAGTTTGGAATTTTCAAACATTTTTGAAATATGCTATTAAGCAAACATGTGTGTCCCCCTCCTCCACTTCCCCCACATGTACATGTGTGTATATGTAGTTTTTACATAAAGATTAACATCTACTAGATCTTGGGCATATTTTGAGGTTCACACATACGATTTATTTCACTTTTTAATGGCTGCATGGTGCTTCATAATAGATGTGCAACATGGTTTATTTAGCCAATCCTCTGTTGAGGGACATTATTTTGATTATTTTTCACAGCTGAATAATACATCTTACAAGAAAATACCACCATGTGCTATATTACATACTAGGCTTTAACTACCACGACTTTAATTTTTGTGTGTTTTATGGAAGAGACCCTTGGCATTTGTCTTCCTTTTCTTAAATTGGTTGTGTTATGGTGAAAAGAACCCAGCACTGAGAGGTTTGGGCTCCAGCGTCCGCATTTGTAATCTGCCTGAGCTTGAACGAGGCACTGGGCACCTCTCGGCCTGTCTGCATCCTGGTGCCGGGCTGCCCAACTCGGTGCCGCGGTGGAGAGCGAGAGTTAGTGCCCCCAGATGTGGAGATGGCACCCAAGTGCCACCTTGGGTCCTTTCAGAACCACCCTGAGTCTGGACTCTCCATCCCTCTCTTGTTTGGCCGGACAACAGTCAAAGGTAGGCGGTTTGCTCTTTCTACCCAGATTCTGGAAGCTTCTATCCACAGGCATTTTTGACCTCAGGGACAACCACCCCAGCTGTGTCTTTCTGGCCTGTCTTAGAGATCTCTGCCTCAGGAATCGAGTCAGGGTTGTCTAGGTGGACAGAGAACAAGCAGATGAGGTGCTGGCCCCAATCCCCTGCCCCGTGGGAGGCTCCGTCTTCCCTGCAGGACCATCCTCTGCTGTTAGTGCCAGAGGGCTGGAGGCCGGGCCAGGCTGGGCAGGGCTCCGGCTTTGTGGAAGCTGCCATTTGATTGAAGCAGCTGTCTCTACTGCCTGAGCAATGAGACAATAGCTGCAATTAAGTGCATCTTCTCTGCATACCTAGTCTACATCTTGGCAAGAATAAAAGAGAAGGGAGGGACCTCGGTGGCTCACGCCTATAATCTTAGCACTCTGGGAGGCCAAGGCAGGCTGATTGCTCAAGGTCAGGAGTTCAAAACCAGCCTGAGCAAGAGCGAGACCCCGTCTTTACTAAAAATAGAAAGAAATTAATTGGCCAAGTAAAAATATATAGAAAAATTTAGCCGGGCATGGTGGCACATGCTTATAGTCCCAGCCACTCTGGAGGCTGAGGCAGGAGGATCGCTTGAGCCCAGGAGTTTGAGGTTGCTGTGAGCTAGGCTGATGCCATGGCACTCTAGCCCTGGCCACAGAGACTGCCTCAAAAGAAAAAAAAAAAGTATGCTCTTACCCCATGTAGATCAGCATTGAATGGGCTTAGCTGGGCACACAGCCCGAGCACAAACACTGTTATCTCCCTCCCTTCCTGACCCTCACCTTTATCCCATTCTCCCTGCCCATCTGATGTGCTGTTTTGATTTTTTTACTCTTTTGCTCTCTTTGATCTTCTATTGATGCTTTCGGCATCCGTTTGCTCTTTTCAAGATCATGTGAGGCCAAAGCCCTGTCCAGCCTCCTGCAGCTTCCTCCAAACACTGCAATGCATCCCCGAGCTCGTGAACAGCCACTGTTTCGGGGACGGGGACGGCTCTCAATAAATAAGAATGATGACCGAGGGCAGCACGCAGGGCTGAGCGGGGCTTGCATCGATCACTGAAATGTGCTTCCTCCCGCGGCTGTTGCCTGTCTGGCATTCATCGTTCCTCGGCAGAAGGCCCCATCGATCCTCCACTGTAATGGAATCTTACAAAATAGGCGGGAGGGGTGTAATTAACACACAGACGTGGCTGTCATCACAAAGTTTCCAACCACTGATCCAGCACTGCCCGCTGATAAATGTCTCATTTCCTTCTGTGCAACTATCGCAAAGATCCCGAGTTCTCACGGGGTGGGGGGAGGGTGATGTGCAGAGCAAAAATAAAGGTGACCTCTAAAGTGTGCAGGAACCGAGGACCACGAGTCACTGGGAGGAACCCTCTGTAGACTTGGCTCTAGGGTCCTCCTCTCTGGGAACGTACACTCAGCTCCTGCTCTGTCCCAGGATTAGCTACAGATGCTGCTGAGAGCAAGATGAGTCCCTGCCCTGGTGCTGGTCCCAGGAGAGCATGCCCAGGCTCTGCAGGATAAAGAAGAATGGAGCTATCCTTTGGGGGTGGGAGAAGGCGGGACTTCATGGAGAAGGCAGTGTTTGGGTCGGGCGTTGAAGGCCGAACTGAGAGAAGTAGGCGCTCTTGCTGGAAGTCAGGATGTGTTAGACCGGGAGGTGGGCAAGTAGGGGCCCTGTCCCAGCTCTTTAACAAGGTCACCTTGCTGCCTTGTCTGCAGGAAGACAACCCTCGGGCAGACTGATGGTCTGTGGTTCGGCCCAAATCAAAGGAGTTGGTTTTGAAGTTATTATTGCAAAATTTAGATGTATGAATGGAATAGCTTTTGACTCAGTTTCTGGCTTCCCACTTGGATTCTCAGGACCCTTGAGCCCTTCTCCTCTTACCACCCGTCAGCCCCCAACCTGTCCCTTCCAAGGGAGTGTTACAAGTCACACATTCTCATTGTGGGAATTTTGGAAAACATAGGAGACGGCCTCATCCATAAACCCACCTGGGGGGAGACCACTGTTAGCATCTTGCATTTTATTTTAACCTTTAAAAACGTGTGGACAGGGCACAGTGGCTCACGCCTATAATCCTAGCACTCTGGGAGGCTGAGGTGGGAGGATCACTTGAGGTCAGGAGTTCTAGACCAGCCTGAGCAAGAGTGAGACCCATCTCTACTAAAAATAGAAAAATTAGCTAGGCATGGTGGCACATACCTGTAGTCCCAGCTGCTGGGGAGGCTGAGGCAGGAGGATTGTTTGAGCCCAGGAGTTTGAGGTTGCTGTGAGCTAGGCTGATGCCACAGCACTCTAGCCCGGGCAACAGAGTGAGACTCTGTCTCAAAAAAATATATAAAAATAAAATAAATAAATAAAAACGTATTTCAAGATGAAATCCAAATGAATGCAATTCTATTGAGATTTGGGCTGGGTGGGACAGAGCTTGGGTGCTCCCTGCTGTCCATCCAATGGGGCAAGGGTACAGTTTCCAAGATTTTCGAGGGGGCCTTCATTTAGCTTTCTTGGTTTTTCAGGGAGTGGCTGAAGCTGAACTGGAACAGAACCTGAGTCGGACTTTCAAAAGCTTCTTCAGAGCAAGTGACGAGGTGAGGCGGGAGAGGAGCGGGAGGGGAAGTGGGAGGTCCGAGGGGGCTGCCCTGCAGGAAGCAGGTACCTGGGGTGTGGCAGCACCTAGGAACTGGCCCCTGGGCTTCTCTTGTTTGACTTCTACAGTTAGAGTTATTGGGGTCCTTACTTTGCTGGTTAATGGAGAAAAAGTGACATCCTGACTGTCACCTGAGATTGGAGAATAATTGTAATAGCGACAGTTTGGAAATGATGCTGTTATCACCATTGCCATTTGAATATGCATAAGTGACTCATCCAAGTCCAAAGCTAATGGATGTCTCTCTTTTCTTGAACAACCAAAGGAGTTTAGAATACTTGGTCATCCGCACCATCCTGTCTCATGAGTCGGTAGTCACTGCCACTGTTGTTTTTTATATACAGTCAGTGCCCTGCTGAGACTGTCCCAAGCTTTGCAGTTTCTTTGCTGATCACTTCTTGCATCTCACTCATTCACATTGACTTTAGTTTCCTTCTTCCTGAAGTACCTGCTTTAGTAGCTCTCTCAATAAGAGTCTGTTAGTGGTTTTGGTTAACTCAAGAGTTTTTTGGGGCCGGCGCGGTGTCTCATGCATGTAATCATGCAGCACTCTGGGAGGCCGAGGTGGGCGGATTGCTCAAGGTCAGGAGTTCGAAACCAGCCTGAGCAAGAGCGAGACCCCGTCTCTACTATAAATAGAAAGAAATTAATTGGCCAACTAAAAATATATAGAAAAAATTAGCCGGGCATGGTGGCACATGCCTGTAGTCCCACCTACTCGGGAGGCTGAGGCAGGAGGATCGCTTGAGCCCAGGAGTTTGAGGTTGCTGTGAGCTAGGCTGACACCACGGCACTCTAGCCTGGGCTACAGAGTGAGACTCTGTCCCAAAAAAAAAAAAAAAGTTTTTGGCTGAAAATGTCATTATTTGCTCTTAATCTTGAAGAATGGATTATCTGAGCATAGAATTCTAGATTGACAATTTTCTTTTACAAGCTTCTGTCATTGCTTGTGAGAAAGGGCCTCAGGTCTATTAATTGTATATTAATTGTCTTTAGGCAATTAATGGTCTTACATGCTGTCATGTCTTATCTGCAGTTTAACTCATCTTTGACATTTTCTTTTTAATTTAAATGAACAGGGCTTTATTTTTTTTAATTTGTGAAAGTGGTTTTTGTTTGTTTGGTTTGTTGTTTGTGTGTGTGTGTGTGTGTGTGTTTGTTTTTTTTTGAGACAGAGTCTCATTCTGTTGCCTGGACTAGGGTGCTGTGGCATCTGCCTAGCTCACAGCAACCTCAAACTCCTGGGCTCAAGCGATCCTCTTGCCTCAGCTTCCCTAGTAGCTGGGACTACAGGCATGCGCCACCATGCCCAGCTACTTTTTTCTATATATTTTTAGTTGGCCAATTAATTTCTTTCTAATTTTTTAGTAGAGACAGTGTCTCGCTCTTGGCTCAGGCTGGTTTCGAACTCCTGACCTTGAGCACTCTGCCCGCCTCGGCCTCCCAGAGTGCTAGGATTACAGGCATGAGCCACCGCGCCCGGCCTTGTTTTGTTTTTTAAGACAGGGTCTCCCTCTGTGTCCCGGGCTTGAGTGCAGTAACATGATCATAGCTCACTGCAACCTTAAACTCCTGAGCTCAAATGATCCTCCCACCTCAGCCTCCAGAGTAGCTAGGACTACAAGTACATGCCACCACACCCAGCTAATTTTTTTTTATTTTTTGTAGAGACAGGATCTTGCTATGTTGCCCAGGCTGGTCTTGAACTCTCAAGTGATCCTCCTGCCCTGGCCTCCCAAAGTATTAGGATTATAGGCATTAACCACCATGGCCTAGCCCTTGGTTCTTTTTCAAATCATTCTGATCTCTTTTGATAAAGGCTTGTGCTATTTTTTTTTTTTTTTTGAGACAGAGTTTTGCTTTGTTGCCTAGGCTAGAGTGAGTGCCATGACATCAGCCTAGCTCACAGCAACCTCAAACTCCTGGGCTCAAGCAATCCTGCTGCCTCAGCCTCCCAAGTAGCTGGGACTACAGGCATGCACCACCATGCCCGGCTAATTTTTTTCTATATATATTAGTTGGCCAATTAATTTCTTCTTATAGTAGAGACAGGGTCTCGCTTTTGCTTAGGCTGGTTTAGACCTCCTGACCTGGAGCAATCTGCCCGCCTCAGCCTCCTAGAGTGCTTGTACTATTCTTATTTTTCAATTCCTTCTTTTATGTCTTTAATAATTTTAAGCATATTCATTTATCATTCTCTCTCTCTCTCTCTTTGCATGTTCTGTTATTTTATGCTTTGAGGGAGTCTTATTTTACTGTTTGCTACATTCACTGTCTCTTGCTATGGGCAAGCATATGTGTGAGAATGTGAGTTTTGTAATTTTGCTTTGTGAGCTCATCTTTAGAAACAATCTGCTTCAGTCTGCTTCAGTTTGGACTGAGGAAATGACCCTCCTGAGGGGGTTAGGGTTTCCTCTGCCAGGCATCCTGGTGGCATTACCAGCCCAGGCTGGCTCTTTCTTGCTGTTGTCACACACTTCACACCCTGAAGGATCCTGATCATGCAGACAGTGTAAATTCAAATTCAAATCCAAGCACTTGTGAATTCAGGCCTATAGCCAAGAATTCCCGGGGAGCTTTTTTTTTTTTTTTGGTGTCCTCTTCGTACTGCTCCTGTGATCTCTCTGTTGTAATGGGCAGATTTTTTTCTGTCCACCCTTCAACCTTCAGTACACCAAGGCCCCCAGATGTACTGGATTTATTATGGGAGCGGGCAGGGAGCATCTGATTCCTAACTCCCCACCCACCAGAGGCCGGAGGTCTCATCTCCTATTTCCATTGGTTGATGGACCCAAGTTCTTACACTGCCACAGTCTGGGGGGCGGGGGGGAGTCTGGAGCAGCCTTGGCCCCAGCCTGGGTTGTCAGCCAGCATCCTCCTCGCTCTGACTCCTGAGGAGCCCCTTGCTCTCTCGGGAGCTTAGCACATTTGTATGGCACTCACGGGTCTTTCGATGTGACAGGGTTTTTGGGTGAGTTGTTCCAGTATATTGTCATTGGCTTCCCGCGTGACATCATGTCTAACTCTGATCTTCCTACAGACTGTATTATCCGTGCACAGAGTCCGTGAAATGGGTAAGAGACGTTCTCAGGAGAGAAGGGAGATGGGAGGGCCACATTGGAACCAGCCGTATGTGACATGGGTGTTTCTCCCTCTGCCTACTATGGGCAGAAGCCCGGAACCTTCCAACCGTCAGGGCGTCAGGGTGAAGGGTCACTCACTCTAACCCCAGGCTTGACCACAGGCCCGGTTCCTTTCCTCTAGGGATCTGCGGATTCCAGATCTTTCTGGAGGAGTCTTAGAGCTTGTCCAGGGCAATCCCTGCCCTCCACTGATAAGGACCCGAGCCCAGGATAGAGAACCGATCTCTGCAGGGTCACCAGGGCACGCAAGGCAGCATGGGCCCAGCCCCCACCTAGGTCTCTCCGTCATGTTCCAGTCATTTCCGGTTCCTTTACTTGAGGGCCATTCTTGTTGCCCTCTAGGCTTGGATGTGAGTGAGGGGTCAGAGTCCAGACCAGTCCAGGGCTCGTTCCCATGGCCCCTGGATCCAGCACGCTTCCCATAAAACCTTATTTCAGTCCCAACCCTATGGCCTTGACATTATTCACTTGCATTTTTATTAGTGATGATGCTGCGAGCCCTTGCTTCTGCACCGACAGCGTGTATCAGACACTAGACTAGCCGCCTTCCGGTGTGTTATTTAGGCACCTCCATAGCATCCCTAAAAATATCATTATTATTTCTATTTTTAAAAACGAGGAAAATGGGTCTCAGAGCATTAAGTGACTTGCCTAGAGTGACCAAGCTGGAGTTAAACTCCTCTGACCGTAAAGGCCATGCTCTTGTCACTGCTCCGAGGACATCTCCTTCCCTCCCCACGATGCCTCCGTTCCTCCATTCATTCATTCACACGGTGGCCTGTCCATTCACTCACTCATTCATTCCCCAGCTGTTTTGAGCACACGCTTGGGGAGGCGGGCGCCGGGTGCCACAGGCGCCCAGCTGCGCAGAGCAGAGCAGCTGTCCTCGGGGAGCCGATGGTCTCCTGGGGACGCAGGCCAGCAGGTGTGAAGGAAGGAAGCACCTGGGGAGTTGCAGAGGGGCACTGAGGCACAGCGGACCAGAGTGAGGCCTGTCAGGAGGCTTGGGGTTGCTTCTTGGGGAGACAGCCTGATGACACACCCAGCTCCTGTTCCTTGGGGCTCCCTGGGTCTGAGCATGGCGCCAGCCTGTGCAGGCGCCGGCGTGGGTACCCCTCGGGGCTGTGCCCTGTGAAGTGCAGTCACCCCAGGGCTGCCAGCTGTCATCTCAGGCCATCCTCGGGGGGACCAGGAAGGCAAGGACAGCAAGGACACTGCAGGAGGGTCTGCTGGGCACATGGGAGGCAATGGGATAGGGGACCCCAGCCTAGAGTTTCTTCCTGTCTAAGAGGAAGAGTGGAGCAAGCATCTGTGAACATTCCGAGACTCTCACGGAGATATCTCAAAGGAGACACAGTCAACTATTTAGAAAAGGTTTGGTCTATGGAGAGCAGTACCTGGGATGCAGCGACGTCTGCCCGGCCCGGGCTGTGCGTGTATGTTTGGTTGGAGGGGCGGCTGTGGTTTGTCCTGGAGCAGTGATGACAGCCCGTGACGTCAAGGCCTGGGTCACCGGGACTGTGCAGTCACAGCTCAGAGCTCTGGAGGAGACAGGTTCGCTGTAGGGAAGAAAGGAAGAGCACAGATGATGAAGGCACGTGAGACCCTTCGCATCAGTTCAAAGGGGACATGGGGACTGTGAGGTGCTTGGCCCGGAGGTGGGAAAATCCACGAGTGGCTTTTTGCAGGAGGACTCTTTGTGAAGACCCCGAAAGAGCCCAGCCTCAGCAGGATCGTCAGCGAGGAGGAAATCCAGTTCTACGTGCAGCAGTTCCAGAAGTCTGGTTTCAGGTACGGAGAGTCAGTGCTACAGGCACAGATGAGAGACGGTTGGCCCAGAGGGACTCAGCCCTCAGGGTGGAGGGTGAGGCTCGATTCCCCTTCACCTGCAGCCCTCATGAGTGCCGGGCCAGCCTCTGTTTGGATGCCTCCAGTGTCGGGAGGCTCACCACCTCAGGATGCTGCCTGCTCTAATTTGGGGTAGCTCAACTTGCTCCCCTTATGCTTGTGGGCTGCCCACAAAGCAGAGTTGTTGCTTTTTTTCTTTTGAGACAAAGTCTCTGTTGCCAGGGCTAGAGTGCCATGGCATCAGCCTAGCTCACAGCAACCTCCAACTCCTGGTCTCAGGCGATCCTCCTGCCTCAGCCTCCTGAGTAGCTGGGACTACATGCATGCGCCACCATGCCTGCCTAAGTTTTTCTACATATTTTTAGTTGGCCAATTAATTTCTTTCTACTTATAGTAGAGACGAGGTCTCACTCTTGCTCAGGCTGGTTTTGAACTCCTCACCTTGAGCAATCCACCCACCTGAGCAATCCACCCACCTGGGCCTCCCAGAGTACTAGGATTACAGGCGTGAGCCACCGCGCAGAGGTTTTTAACTGTTTTTTCATTTTCAGTCCTGACTCCTCCAAGAATCAGATGACAGCTCTGCACTCTTTCTTCAGAAAAACACAAACAAACTCAAAAACTGCATGCATGCGGGTGCCTTTGCACCACTTCCCAATGTCCAGCCAGGAGGAGACACCTTTGCACCCCTCCTGCTGCTGTCCCTTTCCACTGGGCTCCGGGGCAAGGAGTGGCCCCTGGATGATGGGGGTGGGGTGGGAGGGTAGACCAAATTCTCCACCCTCCGACTGGACGTCCCCTGTCCCCCGAGGGTCCGGTAGGGCCAGCTCCCAAGCCTACGGAAAGCCCTCAGGCTGTTGGCCCTCTAGTTGGAGTCCGTGTCCCTGCACGAGGACTCGCGGCCCTGGGCTCTGGGCTCTGGCCCCCGTGGAAAGCTTTGCCCTTCCTGGGATGCCAGCTCCGTGCAGAGCGGGTTCCCGCTGGGGCCGGCGGCACAGCCGTCTGCCCAGAGCTGCCCTAATTTTACCTTCTCATCCGTCCCCCAGGGGCCCCCTAAACTGGTACCGAAACATGGAAAGGAACTGGCGGTGGGCCTGCCGAGGCTTGGGACGCAAGGTGAGAGCTGCCTGCAGCGTTGTTGCCATGGAACCACCATCAGGGATTCCCATTGGTCCAACCTGATACGACCCTCGGCCAGAGCTGGGGGGACAGACCTGCCGGCTTCCTCGTTTCCCTCTGGGTTTGGGGGTGACTCCGCCCCAGGGTTTCCCATGGAATGGTGGAGCCTGGCGTGGGGGACAGAGCAGGGCCGTGTCCATGCGACTGCAGCCTCTATCCGAATGCCGGGTCTCCCTGTGGTCCTCCGGCCAGGGCAGCACGTGGCCCGGGGTGGAGCCCCGGAGGAGCGTTCTGTACTCTGACAGAGACGTGGCTTTGGCCTCTGGTTGTGTCACCTTGAACAAGTCAATCTCTGGGCCTCAGTGTCCTCATTTGTCAAGCAGAAAATGACGTTCCACTCTCTGGGTCTGCAAGGGGGGACGTGGAGGTCCCAGTTTGCATCACAAACAGTAAAAACCTGCAGGAAATCTCGCTTTTCCCCCACGAGGTCACGCAGGTGGCCAGGCTTTCATCAGCTCCCTCCGCAGTCCTGGTTATCTCCCCAGTCCGCTCAATGGGAGTGACCGCACCTGCTACGTGCCAGGCAGCGTGCCAGACCTTGGGGACGGCAAACAAAACAGATCAGGCCCTGACCTCCTGGAGTTAGGTCTCGAGGCTGGAGAGCGTATGACATAGTGGGTAATAGCAGGCCGGGGAGTGAGTGAGTCAGCCTGGGTCTAATTCCTGTGTGACCTTGGGAAAGGCACTTAACCACTCTGATCCTTTCTTGCCTCTTTTGCAATATGAAAAAGACAAGAACAGTGCCTCCCTCGTAGAGCTGTGTAAGGATGAAATGGGTCAATGCACGTAAAATGTCAAGAACAGGACCTCACACACGTTGAGCAATCCTCCTGCCTCGGCCTCCCAGAGTGCTGGGATTACAGGCGGGAGCCACCACGCCCGGCCACAAGGGCACCTTTCCTCCCTTCCGGTGCCATTGGTTCAGTTTCATAGCATCGGTCACCTTCATGCCGCGTCCGGCAGACACAAAGCCAGGGCCATGGTGGCGCAGTGGACATGGGTCTCCCCGAGAGACGGGGGCGGGTGGGGGGACCGGCGGCTCCGTCTCCTGCTCTCCCTCCCCAGATCCTGATCCCGGCGCTGATGGTGACGGCGGAGAAGGACTTCGTGCTCCATCCTCAGATGTCCAAGCACATGGAGGACTGGGTGAGGAGGCCTGGCCCCCACGGGGGTCTCAGAGCATCCCGCCCAGAGGGGAGGCGGCAGCGGAGGTCTCACCCCGTCATGCCAGAGGGGACGGCGGGTTGGGGCACCTCCCTGACAAGGGGCTTCCTCGGTGACATCACTGTCACCTCCTGCGAGCAGCAACCCGACTGACACTCCCCTCCCCTGCGCTGGCGTGGCCAGCCCTCCACTCATCCTTCGTCTCCCAAGCAACGCAGGGCCCTGCCCGGGGAGCAGAGGGTTAAGTGTCCCCCACGCTCACAGCCCTGACCTGACACAGACCCGCCTGCCCTCTCCCATTTACCCTCTGGCTGGGGTTTCTTTCAGATCCCCCACCTGAAAAGGGGGCACATCAAGGACTGTGGGCACTGGACGCAGATGGAGAAGTAAGGAGATGGGACGGGCCCTGTTCCCCTGCCCCCGAGCCTTGCCGGTCCCATTGTGCCGCCGCGCCTGGCTTAGCCATTCATTCGCGCGCCTCGGCCTCAGCGTGGGGTGCCGGCCCGACACGTGTGTGCAGCCTTTTGTCTCCACCGCCCCAGGCCCGCCGAGTTGAATCAGATCCTCATTGAGTGGCTGGAGACCCACGCCCGGAACCCGCCGGTGGTCGCGAAGATGTAGCGCCTGGCGTGTGCCCGCACCCAGCGGGCGCTGCCGCCCATCCCTCCCTCCGCTGGGGCGCCGTTCTTCCCGTCCGTCCAGAGGTGGCCGTGCGCGCGTCTCTGGTGACCAGCAGCATTGCTCTGAAAAGATTTGCAAAAAAAGTGTGATTTTCTTTAAATGAAATGAATCAAATTTGATGTCATTTGAGATCCAGGAGAAATCGGGCGTTATTAACCCTCTGGGTATAAATGCATTGTCCCTTTGTCTCTAAGGACCAGTAGTGTCCTGTGCGGGGGACACAGTGGGGCGGACATTTGGGGTGCTGATTTCCTTTGACTGACCAATTCATAGATTTGCAGCAAAAGCAGCCGTCTGTTGTGAGGCATCTCGGTAGCGTTGAGGGTGCTTCATTCAATAAAGCCAAGACGACAGTGACGTTGCTCTTTGTGTTTGTGGACGGAAAAATCCAAGCCCTGAAATATTTGAAAGAAGTTTATTTGAAAGAGCCCAATTTTTGAAAGCCCAATATTTGAAAGAGCCCAATTTGAGGACCATGACCCGGAGCCACTCCCAAGAAGCCTTGAGCAAGTGGGCTCGCTGTGGCTGGGTCACAGTTCAGTTTTATACATTTTCAGAGAGACAGGGGTTACAGGCAAAGTCACAAATCAATACATGAGAGGCATACATTGGTTTGGCCCAAAAAGGTGGGATATCTCGAAGCGGGGGGCTTACAGGTTATAGGTGGGATTAAAGATTCTTTGGCTGGCAATTGGCTGAGAGAGTTAGGCTTTATCTAGAAGACCAGAAAGGATATGCTTATTTTTTTTTTTTTTGAGACAGAGTCTTGCTTTGTTGCCTAGGCTAGAGTGAGTGCCATGGCGTCAGCCTAGCTCACAGCAACCTCCAACTCCTGGGCTCAAGTGATCCTTCTGTCTCGGCCTCCCAAGTAGCTGGGACTACAGGCATGCGCCACCATGCCCGGCTAATTTTTTCTATATATATTAGTTGGCCAATTAGTTTCTTTCTATTTATAGTAGAGATGGGGTCTCGCTCTTGCTCAGGCTGGTTTCGAACTCCCGACCTCGAGCGATCCGCCCGCCTCGGCCTCCCAGAGAGCTAGGATTACAGGCGTGAGCCACCGCCCCCGGCCGGATGTGCTTATTTTAAGATAAGGTTGTGTGCACTCTGGGAGGTCCAGACAGGAGGACATTTTAAATTTACAATAGACACCTGCTAGGATGTTTTAAGATGCTTTAAATTTAAATCTGTTAGGATGCTTGAGTTAAGACATTTTAAATTTATGATAGACATCTGCTAGGATGCTTGAGTTAAGACAGGGGCTTCTTATCTTTTAGGTGAGGTTAATGCCATACCAGAATCAGGTCGGGAAGTACACTGCTTCATTTAGTTAAAAAAAGCCGCTTAGTGGGAATTTACCGTTTGTCAGCCTGACACAGCTGGCCTCCTTAGGAAAGAGTTTTTAGCAAAAGAAAAAAATCGGAGTTCAGTCCTCATGTTCTTGGGACGGCAGAATCATTGTTCAGAGAATGACACTTCCCTGTGCTGTTGAGCCCTGCTCTGGTGGCCCAGGCGCTGTGTGGTCTAGACCAGCACTGGCCGGGGCTTCCTGGCAGGTGGCGGGTCTGCTGTGCTCTGTCCCGTGGAGCAGCCACTGGCCACGGGCAGCCACGTGGCCTTTCTCCCGGCTACCGGAGCAGGGTTTACTTGGGTACAGGTGTGCACCAGGCACTTGAAATGTGCTAGTGAGGCTGAGGAAGTGAGTTTTAAAGTTTACTTAATTTTTTTTTTTTTGAGACAGAGTCTCACTCTGTTGCCCGGGCTAGAGTGCCGTGGTGTCAGCCTAGCTCACAGCAACCTCAAACTCCTGGGCTCAAGTGATCCTCCTGCCTCAGCCTCCCAAGTAGCTGGGACTACAGGCATGCACCACCATGTCCGGCTGATTTTTTCTATATATTTTTTAGTTGTCCCACTAATTTCTTTCTATTTTTAGTAGAGATGGGGTCTCGATCTTGCTCAGGCTGTTTCAAACTCCTGACCTTGAGCGATCCTCCCACCTGGGCCTCCCAGAGTGCTAGGATTATAGGCGTGAGCCACCACACCCAACCAAGTTTATTTAATTTTAACAATTTACATTTAAATAGCCAACAGCTGCCTTGAGGCTCAGCACAGATCTAGCCCATCTTCCCCCCTGCTCTGTCCTTCCTCCCAGCTTGCCCAGGTGGGCACCCGTCTCACCTCTGCCCTGCTTCAGACCCCAGAGCCCTGCGGCAGCCTCCCAGCTGGGCTCCCCTCCCAAGGGCTGGATCCTGAGCCCCGCAGGGCCCCTGCTCTCCGCAGCCTGGCCCAGCACCCACTCCCTGTTCCGGACTGCCCTGCAACACAGCACCCTGCTCCTCCTGGCTCCTCCCCCGCACCCCTGCCCCCTGCTAACTGCTTTGCCCATCCTTTGGCCTGGAATGCTTCCACCTGCCACCTCCTGCTTTGAGGCTCAGCGTCGGCCACATATTTAATGGCTGGATAATCTTGCACTGTGTGTCAAGACCGCTTTTTGTTTATCCACTCTCTCATTGATGGAGACTTGGGTTGCTTCTGCATTTTGGCTAATGTGAACGATGCTGCTGTGGACATGGGTGACAAATATCTCTTCAAGGCACCTCTTTCAGTCCTTTTTGGTGCATACCCATAAGTAGAATTGCCAGAGCATTCTATGTTTAATTTTTTGAGGGACCACCACCCTGTTTGCATAGCTATACCATGTTACACTCCCACCATCAATGCACAAGGGTTCTGATTTCTCCACGTCATCACCAACACATTATTTTCTGGTTTTTTTCCTTTCTTTTCTTTTCTTCTTTTTTTTTTTTTTGAGACAGAGGCTCACCCTATTGCCTGGGCTAGAGTGAGTGCCGTGGCGTCAGCCTAGCTTACAGCAACCTCACACTCCTGGGCTCAAGTGATCCTCCTGCCTTAGCCTCCCAACTAGCTGGGACTACAGGCATGCACCACCATGCCCAGCTAATTTGTTCTATATATTTTTAGTTGGCCGATTAATTTCTTTCTATTTTTAGTAGAGTTGGGGTCTTACTCTTGCTGAGGCTGGTTTTGAACTCCTGACCTTTTGCGATCCTCCTGCCTCCGCCTCTCAGAGAGCTAGGATTATAGGCGTGAGCCTCTGCGCCTGGCCTATTTTCTGGTTTTTAAAAATATATACATAGGCCGGGCGAGGTGGCTCACGCCTGTAATCCTAGCTCTCTGGGAGGCCGAGGCGGGCGGATTGCTCGAGGTCAGGAGTTCGAAACCAGCCTGAGCAAGAGCAAGACCCTGTCTCTACTATAAATAGAAAGAATTAATTGGCAACTAATATATATATACAAAAATTAGCCGCATGGTGGGGCGCATGCCTGTAGTCCCAGCTAAGAGGCTGAGGCAGGAGGAGCCAGGAGTTTGAGGTTGCTGTGAGCTAGACTGACGCCACGGCACTCACTCTAGCCTGGGCAATAAAGTGAGACTCTGTCTCAAAAAAAAAAAAAAAAATATATTATATACTACTATATACATATAATAGCTATCCTTATGGATATGGTGTGGTAGCTCATTGTGTTTGTTTGGCTTTTTGTTTTTGTTTTGTTTTGTTTTTTGAGACAGCGTCTCACTCTGTTTTTTTGTCCAGGCTAGAGTGCAGTGCTGTCATCGTAGCTCACTGCAGCCTCCATCTCCTGGCTTCAAGCAATCCTCCCACCTTGGCCTCCCAAAGTGCTAGGATTACAGGCCTGAGCCACCACCACACCCAGCCCTCATTGTGGTTTTATTTGTTTTTCCCTAACAATTAGAGATGTTTTCTTATGCTTATTGGCCATTTGTATATCGGAGAAATATCTATTCCAAGTGCTTTGCCCATTTTTTTTTTATTGGGTTGTTTGTTTTTTGCTCGTTTTGTTTGTTTATTGGTTGTTTGTTTGGTTGTTGCTGTTGAGTTGTAGCTCCTTGTACGTTCTGTATATTTATTCCTCGTAAGATACATGATATGCAGATGTATTCTCCCAATCTGTGGGCAAGGTTGTGTCGGGTGGAGAGGTAGAGAGGAGTGATACCTTTCCTCCCCATCGGGAGGGTCACAGCTGACTATCCTAGAACAAAAGACAGGTAAACAAGAGAAAAGGATGACAAATTCATTCAATCAAAGTTTCACATGACAGGGGAGCCTTCAGAAATGAAGAGCCAAAGACCCAGGGAAAACTGTCTTTCATGCTTACCTTCAATGAAAAAAGGACATCCTTCTAGAAATGTGAGGGAGCCACCCGAGAGGCCTGTGCGTGCAGATTCTTCCCGGCCTCCCCTGTGGCATTCCTTCCTCCCAGGTGTGGGGCAGGACCCTCTGGAACGAAGATCTTCAAAGTGGAAGGGAGAAAACAGAGAGGGACCAACTCTAGATTTTATGACTTGCTTTGAGGGAGAGGAGTTCTAGTTTCTGGGACCACCTGGGGTTGGGGGAGAGGAATTCTGGTTTCTGTGACTCTCTTCGGGAAGAGAGGTGGAGACGAGGGCAGGGGACGGTCAGAGAGACCTTGCTCAGAGGCCCTTCCAATGTGACAGTTTGGGCTCCTGTCACCATTCCAAAGACAGACACAATTAATTTCCTTCCTTCCTTCCTTCCTTCCTTCCTTCCTTCCTTCCTTCCTGCCTTCCTGCCTTCCTGCCTTCCTTTCTTTCTTTCCTTTCTTTCAACAGAGTCTCACTCTGTTGTCTGGGCTAGAGTGCCGTGGCATCAGCCTAGCTCACAGCAACCTCAAACTCCTGGGCTCAGGCGATCCTCCTGCCTCAGCCTCACGAGTAGCTGGGACTACAGGCATGCACCACCATGCCCGGCTAATTTTTTCTATATATTTTTAGTTGGCCAATTAACTTCTTTTTTTAGTAGAGACAAGGTCTTGCTCTTGCTCAGGCTGGTTTCTAACTCCTGACCTTGAAGGATCCTCCCGCCTCAGCCTCCCAGAGTACTAGGATTACAGGCATGAGTACCCGGCCTCACAATTCTTTTATGATGCAGCCCAAAGTCAGAGAGAAAGCCCCAAGCAGTGGTATTCATTTCAATTTGAATATAGTAAGAGAGATGGATAGTTGTCTATTTTTTTTTTCTTGCAGATTATCCTGGATTAGGATGGAACATCGCAGAATGTTTTAGGCAGTCTCATCCTACATGGCTTTATGAGAGCTGAAGAACTTTCTGTCCTGCATCATATTTTAAAGAGAATGTGTGGTGGCTCACGCCTGTAATCCTAGCACTCTGGGAGGCCAAGGCAGGCTGATAGCTCAAGATCAGAAGTTCGAAACCAGCCTGAGCAAGAGCAAGAGCCCATCTCTACTAAAAATAGAAAGAAATTAATCAGCCAACTAAAAATAGATAGAAAAAATTAGGCAGGCATGGTGGCAAGTGCCTGTAGTCCCAGCAGGAGGCTGAAGCAAGAGGATCGCTTGAGCCCAGGAGTTTGAGGTTGCTGTGAGCTAGGCTGATGCCTAGATGCCGGGTACTCTAGCCCGGGCAACAGAGTGAGACTCTGTCTCAAAAAAATAAAAATATAAAAAAAGAAAGAGACTGCGGAAGCCAAGAGGGGCAAGGAAGTGTTATCTGCAGACCAGAATCCATTCAACACTCTTCCCAAGATCTGCAGTGAGCACAGGGGTGTTTCAGAGAAATATGTTAAATTATCAGCTACAAATGGTGTGTTAAGCTCATTGTCATTGATGTACGAGTCTGGGAGGGGCAACATCTGAAAACAAGCTCTCCAGGGTCCACTGAAACTGTAACTGGTAACATTGATTTCCTTTGTCAGGGTGTGTTTGCAAAAGTGAAGACTCAGCAATTATTGAACAAGCTGAGTCCTTCAGACAAGAAATAAATAATAAGCCCTAGACCTCAAGCATAGGATGGTGGCAACAGATCGAATGCACTGACACATACCATTTTTGCTGAGTTTTATGTTCCCGTGCAATTTTATTTTATTTTTTAATAAAGGCAATTTATAAAACTGATGTGACTGGCTTAGGGTGGAAGTGAACACATTGCATCCAAGGGCATAGTGCAAGGTGAAGAAAGGAAACCTCCTGCTTGGATGGGGGCTCTGGGAAGTGTTTGCAGAGGACGGGAGCCCAGCGGGGTTCCACCCACGCCCTGATCACTGGGTGAACAAGAGAACATGAGGGTGGCCGGCACGGTGGCCACTCCTGTAATCCTAGCACTCTGGGAGGCCGAGGTGGGCGGATTGCTCAAGGTCAGGAGTTTGAAACCAGCCTGAGCAAGAGCGAGATCCCGCCTCTACTATAAATAGAAAGAAATTAATTGGCCAACTAATATATATAGAAAAAATTAGCCAGGCATGGTGGCGCATGCCTGTAGTCCCAGCTACTGGGGAGGCTGAGGCAGGAGGATCGCTTGAGCCCAGGAGTCTGAGGTTGCTGTGAGCTAGGCTGACGCCCACGGCAACTCTAGCCCGGGCAGCAGAGTGAGATTCTGTCTCAAAAAAAAAAAAAAAGAACAGGAGGGGATGGGGCTTCGGGGGAGGCAGGAAGCAAGCAGTCCCCTCCCCTTCTGTCCCCAGGACTTGGCACTGCCCCCGTCCCTGTGTTGGCCACAGCCCCTGGGCTTCGGACAGTGAGCGCGGAGAAGGGACAGCAGCCAGCCTGGCAGGTGCTTTCTCCCTGCGCCAGCCCCAAGCCCCGCGGTTCCCGGCAGAGTCTGGGGCTCTGTGGGGGTCTCTTGCCGTGGGCAGTGGAGCTGGCAGCCCTCGGGGACAGCCCCAAGCGCACAGACCCGGTCTCCCCTCCTGACTGCAGCCTGGCGCCGTCACGGTACCGCGGACCCAGTGACTTGAACGCAGACATCTATTCGCGCACAGTTCTGGGGCTGCAAGTCTGACATCAAAGTGGCAGCAGGCTGGTTTCCCCTGAGCCCTCTCCCCTTGGCCGTCTCCTCCCTGTGTCCTCACGTCGTCGCCCCTGTGTGTCTGTATCCTCATCCCCTCCTCTCCTGGGGACACCAGTCATTGGATTAGGGCCCTACCCTCTGCTTCAGCCACCAGGGTCCCCTGCCGTGTCCCTAACGTGGTGGGCGCTTGGCTTGTCCTTGAACTGACCGCAGGGACTGGGACTCCATGGCACAGGTCTGTGTGTGTCACCTCCTGCAAGCCGGGGCCCTGCGGCGGCCACCACATTAAGATCACCCCCAGGTCCCCCACACCAAGCCTCCCCTGACCTTTGGCGTTAAAGACCCAGTTCTGAGGCCGGGAGTCTTTGGCTCCAGAATCCCTGGGTGGGTCAGAGCTCAGGCAGCTTCCAGGGTTTGCAGGTTCCCCTGCCCCCTCCCACGTTCTGGCCCGAGAGGGGCCTCAGGCAGGGGTGGGGCAGGCGTGACCTGTTGTTGGTTAACCTTAGCCCTGCTGGGTGGAGCCTGTCCCAAAACTGTTTTGATCCACCTCTGCGGCCCCAAAGCCCCTTGGCCTGCAGCAGCTGTGGATTCAACCAGCTCAGCTCGGCACCAAGGTCGGTCGCTGCACCCTCGCGCCTGCCGCCCAGAGAGCCACTGCCCGCCGGAGCCATGGTGAGCGCCCACAGTGCAGCGGGGGTCCAGCCACGCTGCATCCAGGCTGTGAGCCGGGTGTGCGGGGGCAAAATCGGGCCAAGTCTGGAAACTTTTGAATTGCACTTGAGGCTCCGGGGAGGGAGGTCCTGGGGTGTTAGAGAGGCCGGGGCCTGGGTTGGACTCCAGCACCTTCACTCGGTTGCTGTGTGAGCTTGGGGAAGTGGCTTCACCTCTCTGGGCCTCTGTTTCTGCTCCTGAAAAAGGGGAGTAATAATCAGTATTCATGGAATTACCGTAAGGTCTCCAAGGAGGAGGAGGAGGAGGATGAAGATCCCAGCTCAGTGCCAGAAACACAGCGGGTGTCCAGCAAACGGGGGTCTTGTCTCCAGGACGCCACAGCTGTGGGTCAGAGGCCAGGGGAATGGCACTGCTGAGGAGTCCCCAGACAGGACAGGAAAGCTGCCGAGCATGCCCCGGCCGCAGCAGGGTGCCCAGGAGCAGCGGTGGAGACCTGAGTCCCGCTTTCTCAGGCTCCTCCCTAGACCCCTTCGCCTAAGAGTGGGCAGAATTCTCCGCACAGCTGACCATGCGGGGTCCAGGGAGACCTAGCAGGAGGCCTCTGCAGAGCCCCGTTTAATTGTCCCGTGGCCCCGAGGGGGGATTAGGTCAGAGAAGAGCCTGGGCTCAGTGCTGCAGTCCCAGCCCCCCCCCCTGCCACGGTGGGGCGTGGGGGTGGTCGGGGGACAGTCGATGGGGGCCGAGCAGCCCACACCTGCGTATCCACTGAGACCTGGTGTTTTGCCTGGCACAGGTGCACGGGCACAGAGGGGTCAAGTTTGAAAACTGGGCGCGGACCTATAGCTGTTGCCCAGAGATGTACTATCAGCCCACGTCCGTGGAGGAGATCAGAGAGGTGAGTGTCTGTCTTGGCACCAGGGCTGAAATGGCCTGGCCCTGGAGGCCATAGCCCTGAGACCCAGAGAGGAGGCTGGGACCTGGGACTTCCTGGGCTAAGGTCGTGCCCCCCAGCCGGAACTGCTGGCCAGGTGACAGCTCGATGTCATCAGCTACACCCAGCACTCCTGCCCCGAGTTCGCCTGCCACAGCTCCACGCTGCGGCCACCTTACAATGACCCGTGCCCCCTCCAGTCTGCGCAGCAAGGTGCTAACGACTGCCAGGTCTGCCTGGTCTGCCTTTCCAGCCCGGCTCTCCTCTCTGAGCTGCAGACTCGCATGTGACTTTTCTACTTGTCTGACTCAAAGCCGTCACAAACTGAAACATAGCCCCAGGCTATGTTTTTGCTGTCGTTTTGCCTGCGGGTCTGTCCCATCCCGGGTCTCTGTATGGGGTAAACGGTTGCTTAAATCGAAAGCCAGGATGTGGGTCACGGCCCCCCTTCACCCTGGTCTCACGTCCGCAGTTCTACCGCGGATGTTTCCAGCACCCAGCACCTTCTCTGCAGCACCCGGGAGGGCCTCTGCGCCGGTCTCCCTGCTTCTAATCTTGCCTCCCTCGAATGCACTTTCCACAGTCAGTAAAAGTAATTTTAACGTAAGTGGGCTCGAGTTGCTTCCCTGCTTGGAGCCCTTCAGAGGCTCCATTTATTATTCCATTTATTTTTGGAATAAAACCCAAACTTGACCCCCGAGGTTGCATCATCTCGGCCTGTGTCTCCAGCCGCCCGAAGGTGCCTCCCTGCCTGGCCCTCTGCCCCCAGCCAAACAAAGCGGGCTCGGTCCCACCTCAGGGCCTTTGCGCTTGCTGTCCGCTCTGCCTGGAGTGCCCGTCTGTTTGCTTTTCCCATGACTAGCTGCCTTCAGCTCTCAGGGTCAACTTCTCTTCGGAAGAGTCCGCCTTACCCGAAACTTCCTCTATCTCAGCTCCTTGCTGCCTCCTTCGTTGCATATTTCTGCCTTGCCATTATTTTGTCAGCTTGAACCTTGCTTTTGACTCTCGCCCTCCTAAGGGTGTGAGCCCGCGCTCTCTTCTTCTGCACTGTGTCTTTACAAAGTCCAATTCAGCCACTGTCCCTGCCCTAGAGGACAGTGGGAGGCTGACTGGAGGATCTCATAGGCAGAGGAGATAAGGAGCCTAGATCTTGTCCTCAGCCGGGATGCCCTTGGAAGGTCGTGCACCTGGAAGGTCGCACACCTGGGAGGCCGTGCACTGACAAAGAATGCAATAGTTTGCCTTTAGGGAAGCCTCAGGCTGCCGTGGGGAGAGTAGACCTAAGCCTGGAACTTTAGGAGGGCTTTTTATTTCTCCAGCCCAGCTCACTTCCTGACCCTTCTTTCTGCCCCTCTCCCCTGGAGTGGCTGGCATTTCAACCTGGAGCCAAGCAGGGGCCTGGGAGGCCTGGGGTGCGTCACCCGGGCCGTGGGCACCCCCTGCAGGCAGGCCCGGCCCTTGCACTCTGGCTGTCTCGGAGAAAGGCCTGACCCGAGCTCCGTCCTGGCAGGTGCTGGCCCTGGCCAGGCAGCAGAAGAAGCGGGTGAAGGTGGTGGGCGGTGGCCACTCGCCCTCGGACATCGCCTGCACCGACGGCTTCATGATTCACATGGGCAAGATGAACCGGCTCCTCCAGGTACTGGGAGCCTCCGCTTCCCCCCTCCTTCCTGCCCTAAGTCCCCAGAGTGACACCCTGATTCCTGGCCTGCCCCTCAGCACCCCTTACCCGAGCCCTCCCCGGGCTTGCTCAGGCCTCCTGTCGGGTCTGCCCACACACCCCCAGGCCACAGAGAGGGTGTCCACCCTCCCCTCTTGCCACAGCCTGCCCTCCCCTTCTCAAGAACAGAAGCAGTGAGTCGGCCCCCAAAATAGACTGTCACAGTGACAAATCCAGAAGGGTCCAAAGTGGCACTTAGCTAGTTTTACAGGTAGAGAAACTAAAGATCAGAGAGAGTGATTGACTTGCCTGGGGCCACACAGCTGATCGGTGGCAGAGCTGGCCACAGACTCAGGACTGACACCAGCTCCATGCTGGGACACTGTCCATGCAATTGAGCCAGCACCGGGTCAGTAACCCAGGTGCCTGCCAGCGAGTCTGGGTGCGGGACAGGTGTGCTGCATGTTAGACTCCCGTTCTCACCTGCTGGACCAGCTCCTTTCGGCTGTAATTTTTGCCAGATAACCTCTCCTTCCCCCCGCCCCACTGGCGAGGTTCTGGGATTCTCTCCACTCTTTCCTTATTTGCTCAGGCTGACGGTCTCTTAGAAAACGTTCCAGCCCTGACATCAGTCACGGCCGTAATGAACTCTGATTGCTAATTAGTGAGGACTGGCTCCAGCAATTGATTTGACCGAGCTCTGCGCTCGGGGTCGGCGGGCTGAGCTTGGGCTTTGGAGTCTGACAGATGCGGATTCTCATCTCAGTGCTGCCACTGATGTTTGTGTGACCTTGGGCAAGTGACATCAAGTCCCAGATCTCAGTCCTCTCCCTGTTCCTGCCTCCCAGAGCCAACGTGGTGTGGCAGGCACCGAACAGACGTTACGTCTCCTCTCCCCTGCCCCCATCCTTAGTCTTTGCCTGGGTCCCCCCAGGGTGCAAACAAGTCCCTACAGAAGCAGGCCCTCTTTTCTTGGTGCCTTTACACAACCGCACAAAACAATCCCCCAGTGTGGGGGCACAGGTGTGGCCTCATTTCCTTCACCTACGAACAGAGGGTTACGCAGAATATCCCCAAAGCTGTAGCATTCTCGGGCTCCTGCAGGGGAGGTGGCTCGAGCTAACCCCAGGCTGAAATGGACCCACTTGTCCTCCCAAGGAGGCTGGTGGCAGGGGTCTGGGCTGGGCGATGTCCTCCCAACCTGGCTGGTCTCTTGCAGGTGGACAAGGAGAAGAAGCAGGTGACGGTGGAGGCCGGCATCCTCCTGGCCGACCTGCACCCACAGCTGGACAAGCACGGCCTGGCCCTGTCCAAGTAAGAGCCCCTCCCCCGCCCCTGGGCAACCAGGGATCTCAGCCACCTCCTGCCCTGGCCTGGCCGGACACTCGGGACCTGGCAGAGAGAAGGACATCCTGGGGTGCACCCCTTTCCCTGGCCTCCCACTCTTCCCCCTTCACCCCTGCCTGTCTCCCCATCCGCCATGGGTTCAGGGGCTGCCGTGTGGGAACAGAAGTGAGCGAGTGTTAAGTAACAGTCTAGGCTGGGCGCTCACGCCTGTAATCCCTGCACTCTGGGAGGCCGAGGTGGGCGGATTGCTCGAGGTCAGGAGTTCAAAACCAGCCTGAGCAAGAGCGAGACCCCGTCTCTACTATAAATAGAAAGAAGTTAATTTGGACAGCTAAAAATATACAGAAAAAATTAGCCGGGCATGGTGGCGCATGCCTATAGTCCCAGCTACTCGGGAGGCTGAGGCAGGAGGATTGCTTGAGCCCAGGAGTTTGAGGTTGCTGTGAGCTAGGCTGACGCCACGGCACTCTAGCCCGGGCAACAGAGTGAGACTCTGTCTCAAAAAAATAAAATAAAATAAAATAACAGTCTTGAACAGGGGGTGGGACAATCATAGTTTAAGTCTTTCTGAAAACTTGAAAAAAAAAAAACAACTCCAGGGATCCAAACACAGGGACATGCAGATAAGCCCTCAGAACCACAGAAGAGCAGGCCGCCCGAGCCACAGGGCTTCGTGGCGTCCCTACCTGTGGCTGCACATCCAGACAGGGTGTCAGTGACTGCTCAGGTGTAATAGCAGGGGATCTCCTTTGAAAGAGGCGTCAAACATAGCCAAAGGAGTGAATCTCTCACTGTGGGATTTCAACCATTGGAAACAGCTGACAGAGGTGTTTGGACATGGGGTCACAGTCTGTCCACAGCTGGAAACCACACCCGGGGAAGCCTACAGTTGGTCTTCGGGTGGGGGTGGTCTGCCCGCCCCCCAGCTTTCTGGCTGCAGACCCCAAGGAGCACGATTTGTTTATACTCTGGAAACCATCTGTTCCACTCTACGGCTCACGGCTGCTCAGACACTTAGAGTGTCTGCCACGTGCAGGCCTCGTCAGGCCCTCAAAAGGCAGAGAGGAATAAAACCCGGACCCCCACCTGCAAAGAGCTCCCCGCAAGGGGGTCGCGGACACAATCAGAGCAGCATGATTCGGGCAGGGCGTTTGACGTCAGTGGGGTACACCACCGTGTGGCCCCAACTTCAGCCTTGGCAGGTGGGGGGATATGTAGGGAATGGCATCGGGGCAGGCTCCCTGCCATTGGCAACCCTGGCTGAGTCCTAAAAGATGACGAAGAATTAACCAGAAAAAACATTGAGGAGACAAGGGATTCCAGGCAGAGGGAATAGCCCAAAGCCCCGAGGAAAAGAGCGGGAGGTCTGCGGGGCAGGCGGGTGACAGTGGGGCAGAGCCCGTGACCGATGACAGCGGGAGGAGACCTGTTCTTAATTACGGGCATCGGCCTCTGGGCCCTGCTGCGTCTCTGTGCCGTCTGTGATGTCCCTGTCCTCCCCTGGGGACCCATCCTGCTCAAGTGAGGCCCATCCGCCTCTCCAAAGGGAGCTGGTTGTCCCCTCCTGTGCGCCCATAGCTCCACGGACACTGGGGGCCACTGGGAAGAGGAAGGGACAACGCAGCCAGCGGGGCCACGTGCCAGGTCTGGACACCCTCTCCTTACACTGTCACCAACACTGCGGGGACAGCAGTGTAGTTCACGGACGGGAGGCTCGGACGTTCTCGCGTCTGGTGCCCCAGGTAGAGTGGCAGCACCACGGTGAGACCCGGCGCCGGCAGTAGGTGCCGGGTAGGAGCCCACTGCTGCCTCCCACTAGCTTTTAGTCCAGTTCCTTGACCCCTCGGGGCCACCGCGTCCTGGTCTACAAGTCAGGGGTATTCAGAGGACGGGATGGGCTGGAGCTGCCCTACGGAGCAGGTGTTCCGGACGCGGCAGCCTGGCTCATTCTCCCGCTCCGTCAGTGCCTTGCCCCTGCCCTGGTCCCCCCCCCACCTCGGGGGCCAAACACTGACCCTTCCTTCTGGGGCCAGTTTCATCCATTTCTTTTGACGGGTCCAAGTTCACGGGGAAGAGAAGCTCCGTTGGCATTTGGGTCGCAATCAGCGGCACTGTCACGAACAGCGCTGTGATGAACACCCTCACTCGGGTGCCTTCTGCACGCCGGAGCGTCTCCCAGGGCAGGGCGTCGATGGTCCTCTCTCCACAAGCTGGCGTTTCCAGAAGAGCCGTATCACCAGCCAGCCAGGCTGATGGGGACAGCAACCAGCGCAGGCGGGAAGGGGAGCCCTATGTGTCCTTCTCCGTCCTGCTCCGCCGGGCAGCCCCACTCTCAACTCCTCTGCCCGGGAAGGTGTGAGGCGAGATTTCCTAATGTGGGGTTGGGTTGAAAGTAGGAAATGCGGAGCCTCCAGCCTGCCTCAAGGGCCCTCAGAAGGGAAGGAGGTCACAGGTGCAGGAAGAGGTCACATTGCCACCTCCCCTCTCCTACCTGCCAGGCCACCGTGGGCCCCACGTCTCTAGGGCACACTGCGGTGAACAATCGCCTTAGCCCTCAGTGAGTCTTTTCCTTCCTTTAGCTGGGGCTGGGATGTCTCCCAGAGAGCGCCCGAGAAGTAAGACTATAACTCCTGATCCATTCTTCACCCTTGACCTTGAGCTCCGGAGGGTCTTTATAGTTCTGCTCCTGAAGCACGCACCTGCGGAGGGGGGTGCTGCTCCCCTTGGGGTCCTCCTGTGCACACGGGAGCCACCCCTTACCCATGCCAGGGCCTGGAACTCAGGCTGGGGGATGAGACCTCTATCCTGTAGGCCCCGGGGAGCCCCTGAGGGCTTCTGAGCAGGAGAGGTGACCCCGGCGGCTCAGGGATGCTCTCAGCTCCTTTAACCTTTCTGGGACATTTATTTGTGTATCTGGAACTGCATCGGTTCCCAGGGATGTACCTTGACAGGCTGGGTACAGAGCAGTCTTGGCGGGAGCGTTTGGTCTGTGGTTGGTGGAGATGTTCTCGGAGGTTGGAGGAAATGGGGTTTTAGCTGTGGAGACCCCCAGAGTCAGGGCAGGCAGGCCTCCCTTCAGACCGGAAGCAGGTCCCCACTGGCCCATCTGATGGCCCAGGGAGACACGGAAACTGTAGCCCAGAGAGAAGGGTCGGCCACGTCACAGGAGATTTGGGACAAGGACCCAGGCAGGAGTGGAATCCTCTCTGCTGCCCTGTGGGCCCCCCTCACACGCGTGTGCCTGTCTCCCGGGAAGCCTAACTGGTCTCCTGTGTCCCTCTTGCTCCACCGCCGAGCACAGGCTGGGTGCAGTGTCGGATGTGACCGCAGGTGGTGTCATCGGGTCTGGAACGCACAACACAGGGATCGACCATGGCATCCTGGCCACCCAGGTGAGTCTACCTGCTTCCCCCACATCGCGGCCCGGCTGCGTGGGGCCTCAAACCACCCAGGTCGCCCCCTTTGGGCCTCCAGGTACGTCTCTGAACCTCACCCAGCTCCACAGACAGTGATGAAGGAGCCCTTGTGCGGGCCGGAGCCCTCCCCCCTGCTGGGGGTTTGGGGGAAGGGGTGCTGTCGCCACTGAGGGGTCAGCCGGGCGGGGCACGGGCTGTCCAGGTTAGCCATGCGGGGAGGGACCGGGACAGGAGCCCGGCACATGGGCCTGCAGTCCCTGCTAGACCTTTATCGAAAGCGTTTCTTACCCCTCACGAGAGTCCAGTCTGGGGATCTGGCTAAGGGCAGAGGTTTGGGACGCAGACTTGGGTCCAAACCTGGCCCCGCCATCACTGGCTATGACATTTAGGTAGGCCACCTAACTTCTCTGGTCATTTCTGTAAAAATCGTCCTCTAAACTGGGGAAAATAATCCTCAACTCGCGAGAGTAGTTGTGAAGTGCGTGGCGTCCAAATGACAGTTCAGAGGATGTCTGCGTCCAGGGCCACCCTCGGAAGGGCAAACGCCTCTGGCGTGCAATATTAACAGGGGCTTCCCGGCCCGTCCGGAGCTGGCTGCTCACTTGTCAGGCTCGGGTGGGACCCCTGTGCTGGCATAGCGGTCCACAGCCCGTGATGTCTTTTCTCTCCCCTGCACGAGCCCATTTGCGTTATGGGACTCGTGGCCTCTGGCCACTGTAGCATCAGGGCTACGTGCTGGGCTTGGGTTTTGGCTCAGAGCAGCTCTGACATCAAAAGAAAACAGCCCAGAGGCAGTTTCTAAGGAGGGCACTTGGGTTTTTCATTTGTATTTTTTTTTTCTTTTTTCCTTTCATTTTATCATATTATGGGGGTACAAACATTGTTGGGGTTACATATATTCCCCTGCCATTCCTCCCCCTGCCTTGTGAAAACATCAAGCGTGTCCAACCCCCAGGTGGTGCGCCTATTTTGTAAGTTATATCCTTCCCCTCCTCCCCCCTCCCATCTGCCCCCTGCCCGATAAAAGTTTTCTTTTTTTTTTCCTTTTTTGACCTTTTGGTTACATTGTATATCTTTGATATTTGGCTTTCCCTAGGAAGGGTTAGAGGTATTCCCCCCCCCTCAAATGCTCACCAGAACCCTAAGATGTGTATCTCCCCCTTATTTGTATTTCTTGAACTTCCTGAAGGTAAACCTCATTCCCAGTGATGACTGCTTGAATCTCGCTCTGCTGTCGTATCCCCGTCATGTGCACTGGCTGGTCACTCCTCCTCCCCTTCCCCCTCCTCCCCCTTTCACCACAGAGCCTTACAGAATCACTAGGCAAGAGGGGGCATCCTGAGGGGACCAGCCAGGGAAGGGGGCCACTGAGACCACTGACTCACGCCAATCATTCCTGAGCCCTCCCGTGCTAAGAGCTCTGCAGCAAAGCGCAGAGACCTGTGGGTCCCGATGTCCCGGAGCTCCAAGGACATTGTCGTCTCCTCCTGGAAGCTGGGTCCACTGCCCAGGAGAGTCCAGTGGTCACTGTGGGTGGGAAACAGCATGAGAGCCACCCCCCTCCCCAAGATCTGGCCCCAGTCCTAGTTCACCGTCCAGGACTGATGTCAAGTCGGTCGCCTCGGTTTCTCCAAAATGATTAGTAGAGAGCGAGAGTCATTCTAGGTGGCCACAGATCCAAATGCACTCAAGACGTACTGACCCCTTCTCCTAGGAGGCCCAGGGAGCGGGCCTGGGAGCCAGCGGGGGGACGAGACCCCAGCTGTATTCCCCACCAGACACCAACAGCAGGAGCAAGGGGAAGGGGTTGACGTCCACGGTGCAGTTAGCTGCGTGTCCGACATGTTCTCGCATCCCAGCCTCACCAGGGCCCTCTGAGCCCATTATCACTGCTCTCCCCAGTTTACAAACAAGGCAACGGGCTTGTCTGTAAACATGCCTGAGGTTACACCCAGCAAGCAGATAGCGTGCCCAACCTTTACCGGGTCCTGGGTCCTGCCGAAGTGTTTCCCAGGCCAGCTCTCGGTCACTGCCCGGATCGCAGACAAAACCATTGCAAAAGTCATTTTGATGCCCTCGGCCCTCAGATGGCCACCGTGCCCCGTTTCTGCCCGTTTCTCCTCTGCTCCGTGCTCACTGCTAATCGGAATTGGTTCAGCTGTATCCGTTCTCTCACCCCGAGCACCCGGCCACCAACCACGCACGTCAAAAGCGATACCCATCCAAATTAGCAGGTGGCGGAGCGTGAAGGGCTTGGGCAGCAATGGAAAGGTTTCCTTTGGAGTTAGGTCCAAGGGCAGAGGATGCGCTAGTTGTCAGTTTCCAGCTGAGCGTCCTGGTCTTTGCAGGAACTCAAAGGGTCCTGGTTGGGTGTCGCCGAGTAGGAGAATCTAGTTCCTCGAGTGAGCAGGTCCCAGATGAGGGGAGGGACAGCTTGGCTGACGTGCCACCCAGGAGGAGCAGCAGGCAGAGAGCGGCGTGGGGACCCTGGGTTCCAGCTGTGTGTGGGCAGTGGGGCTGGCCCACCCCCGGGTGCACACACGTCCTCACTCTGCCTTCCAGGCATCCTGACCCGGGAGCTCACGGCTCTTTGCAGCCTGGTCTCCTCCCAGAGCCCCCTGGCAGAGGAAGACCCAAGGGAGGACAAGCCAGTGGGGCCCTTGAACCCTCACTGGGTTCTGGGCCCACCCGGACATGGCCTCCCTTCCCCCATCTCCCCTTTCCTGCTTGAGACTGAGACTGAGACCCCCGGCTGTGACAGTATCCCGGCTGGAGGTGTCCTCTGGTCCGATAACAACGGCCTTCTGGGAGGAGGTGACGCCTGGCCTCTGTGCCGAGGACAAACGAGGAAGTGCGGGCGGTGGCCGGGCGGGGTGGTCCTGAGGTGCGGCTCTCCCCACTGCCAGGTGGTGGCGCTGACGCTGCTGACGGCCAGCGGGACCGTCCTGGAGTGCTCGGAGTCCAGCAACGCGGACGTGTTCCAGGCCGCGCGGGTGCACCTGGGCTGCCTGGGGGTCGTCCTCACCGTCACCCTGCAGTGCGTGCCCCAGTTCCACTTGCAGGAGACGTCCTTCCCCTCAACCCTGAAAGAGGTACTGGTCAGCCACATCAGAGCAGGACTCCCCTGCTCATTTCATTAGGCACCCGCTATGTCTCAAGGGACAAGAGAGGATGACGGCGATGACAATGTAAGAGTAACAGTGCTAGAAGCCGCAGCTCGCACCTGTGTGGTGCTTAGCATGTCGCACCGTGGCACCGTGTTGTGGGTTTTTTTTTTTGAGACAGAGTCTCACTTTGTTGCCCAGGCTAGAGTGAGCGCCGTGGCGTCAGCCTAGCTCACAGCAACCTCAGACTCCTGGGCTCAAGCAATCCTACTGCCTCAGCCTCCCGAGTAGCTGGGACTACAGGCATGCGCCACCATGCCTGGCTAATGTTTTCTATATATATCAGTTGGCCAATTAATTTCTTTCTATTTATAGTAGAGACGGGGTCTTGCTCTTGCTCAGGCTGGTTTCGAACTCCTGACCTCGAGCAATCCGTCCACCTCGGTGCTAGGATTACAGGCGTGAGCCACCCAGCCCAGCCTGGCACCATGTTAAGCACTTTCTAGGCATCATTCTCATTGAATACTCATGACTGACCTGACATGAACACTGTTAATAGCCCCATTTTACAGATGAGGAACCTGAGGCCAGCGATGTTCGATAGCTTGCCCAAACTCACAACAGCTAGTAATCGCTCAAGCCAGGACAAATAAGAAGTCACCTATATCCCTGACCTACTCAGGGAAGTCACCATTTACATGGGCCACTTTAATGCTCAGTGGTTTATAAGACTCATTCCCTGCTGTTTGGCAGAGTTAGGACACATTTAATTAAGTGTTTTAGTTTGATAAGGGGAAACTGAGGCACACCTGGGCCCTGACTTCCAGCACTCCCTGCCATCTTGCCGTGACCAACGCAGTTTCCCCCCCCCCCCCACGGAGGTCAGGTCCTGGACAACCTGGACAGCCACCTGAAGAGGTCCGAGTACTTCCGCTTCCTGTGGTTCCCACACAGCGAGAACGTCAGCGTCATCTACCAGGACCACACCACCAAGGTAGCCGCGGCCGCGCCCGTCCCCACCCAGTGTCCTGGGGCAGGTGGCTGCCCGAGACTTGCACGTCCCCTCCCCGTCCTCACCCACAGCCTGCGGGCCGCACGGCCACCCACTCCCAGGGTGGCTGACACTTGTGGTCATCGTGGCGGCCAGTGGATGGCAGCGGGACACAAGGGGAGTGTCACTGAGTGCAGGGGAGACGCAGGAGGGCCGAGGGTAGAAGAAGGGAGGAAGGTGGGCAGAGTGGAGGTCCAGTGTGTCTGCAGTGGGGACAAGTCAGGGTGTGGCCAAGGGACAGCCTGGATATGGGGGAGGGGCAGACAGGACGGGAGAGGGTAGAGTCCCGGGTGCCCGGGCCAGACCCCAGAAACCGCCCCGCACACCCCGCCTACCCCAACACCCCACTTCCCTCCTCCAGCTGCACAGTGGAAGAGGCGGAGAGTTTTGCCTCCCTGCGTATCCTTAGCAAACAGGCTGGTTCTCAGCAGGAGGGAGCGAAGCAGCGCGGGCGGAACGCTGCTGGGGCAAGTCAGACAAAGGCCGACACCTGCTGCACAGAGGGGCCGGTGTGGGGCTCGCAACGCGTGATCGCGGGACACCCGGCTTGCGGGCTCTCCAGGACGGCCGGGGCACATCTTTTTCTTGTGCAAAATAAATACATAAATTAAAAGCAAGAAATGAAAGGGGCTAGGGGTGGGAATTGGCTCTGCCATCAAGAAGTGAGGCTTTCGGGCCTGGCGTGGTGGCTCACGCCTGTAATCCTAGCACTCTGAGAGGCCGAGACGGGCGGATCGCTCTAGGTCAGGATTTCCAAACCAGCCCGAGCAAGAGCAAGACCCCATCTCTACTAAAAAAAATAGAAAGAAACTAAAAATATATAGAAAAAATTAGCCGGGCATGGTGGCGCATGCCTGTAGTTCCAGCTACTTGGGAGGCTGAGGCAGGAGGATCACCTGAGCCCAGGAGTTTGAGGTTGGTGTGAGCTAGGCAGACACCCTGGCACTCTAGCCTGGGCAACAGAATGAGACTGTCAAAAAAAAAAAGGAAGTGAGGCTTTCAATTGTCCTGCTGGGTGGGTCAACCCCGTCCCCCACACAGAGCTGGGACACAGCTCCCTCTCATGGGACACGCAGATGCGTGATCCGAAGGGAACTCAGCTCTGGCCCCAAACTGATGACAAATTCTGTCTCCCAGCCCCGCTCCTCTTCCGCCAACTGGTTTTGGGACTATGCCATCGGATTCTACCTACTGGAGTTCCTACTGTGGATCAGGTAGGAATGCCAAGGTACCCTTCCAGGCATCGGCCCCGTGCAGTTGAGATGTGGCCCGCGGGAATAACCACACCCGTATGTGGTTGCATGCACACGGAGTCTGCCCCTGGCTCTACGTGATGCGAGAGGTGGGGGGCAGCTGTAAATCCAGATGGAGCTTCGCTGGCTCACCTGCTGCTCCCCTCCGCTCATCTCCTGCTGTGCGGCTGGGTTCCTAACAGGCCACCGACCGTTACCAGCTGTGTCCTGGGGGTTGGGGACCACAGTTTTATATCATCTGTGGATTACCTGGAATGCCTAATACAATGCCTACATATCATTTCATTCACGTGGATTCGATGTGTTACTTGGCAAATAGCAAATTCAAGTTTTGCTTTTTGGAAGTTTGTAGAATTGTTTTTCCGAAATATTTTTGGTCGCTCACCTCCCTGGATGATCCTGCATCCCTGAGCCCTGAGGGGGAGTCTGGGCTTCAGGGTGCATGCCTTGTGAGAATTTGTCTGAAACCATCCTCCCCCTACCCCAGTCCATAGAAAAATTGCCTTCCTTGAAACTGGTCCCTGGTGCCACAAAGGTTGGGGACCACTGCCCTAGAGCAATGTTCGCATGGCCTGGAGGCATTCCCAGCTGTAGAGAAGCGACAAAGGCCAGCCAAGTGGCAGAGTATATCGAGAACAAGGCCCTGGTTTATAAAGAGTTCAGCTCAGGGCCAGGTGCGGTGGCTCACGCCTGGAATCCTAGCACTCTGGGAGGCCCGGGCCCGCGGATCATTTTAGCTCAGGAGTTTGAGACCAGCCTGAGCAAGAGCGACACCTCGTTTCTACTAAAAATAGAAAGAAATTAGCTGGACAACTAAAAATATATGGAAAAAATTAGCCGGGCATGGTGGTGCATGCCTGTAGTCCCAGCTACTCAGGAGGCTGAGGCAGGAGGATCGCTTGAGCCCAGGAGTTGGAGGTTGCTGTGAGCTAGGCTGACGCCACGGCACTCTAGCTGGGGCAACAAAGCGAGACTCTGTCTCCAAAAAATAAATAAATAAATAATAAAACGAGTTCAGCTCAGCGCCTGTCATGCAGCTGGCGCCCAATAGATGCTGGGTCTCGAGGTTGTCATGCACCGCCCCACCCAGCCCGGACACCCTCCCCTGCCTTCCCTGCAGCACCTTCCTGCCGTGCCTCGTGGGCTGGATCAACCGCTTTTTCTTCTGGCTCCTGTTCAACTGCAAGAGGGAGCACGTGGACCTCAGCCACAAGGTGTTCAGCTACGAGTGCCGCTTCAAGCAGCACGTGCAGGACTGGGCCATCCCCAGGTAGGCCGTGCCCCGCGGCCTCGGCAGTGGGTTTCCCAGAGCCCCCCTCCCTTGGACGTGGTCCTCGCCACGGCCCTAGCAGGCACAGTGCCAGGCCCCGAGTCCCGTCCCCTTTCCGTGGGTGGCCACCGGCCCTGAGTCCTCTCCCCGTGCCCCCGGACACCCCACCTCTCTGCCTCGTGGGGAAAATCAGCCACACAGTCCCTCCCTCTCCTCCCGCCCCGTCCAGCCGTCAGAGTTCGGGTTTGGAGCGTGGGGCTCCCTGGCCAGCCTCTCCTCTGTCCGAACGCCCACTGCCTGCTTCCCGTCCCTCGGCTAGCAGAGCCCACCCAGCGTGCTGGGAGCCACCAACCTCTGTGGCTTTCTAACTTCACCCTCACCCCGTTCTCCAAGGAAGGAGGGGTGGTGCCTGGGGCTCAGGGGAAGCCTGTTACTGAGTTCAAGGGCGTGGCCCTCTGACCCTCCACGTGGGAATATTAGGCAGTTAGCAGGGATCCTCAAACTTTTTAAACAGGGGGCCGGTTCACTGTCCCTCAGACCGTTGGAGAGTGCGGCGCACATTCCACACGTGCGCACTGTGGGCCCGGGACCAGCCGGCTGCTAAGCAGGAAGGCAGCGGCGGCAAAAACACCCTGTGGGCCGGATAAGTGTGCTCGGCGGGCCACGTGTGGCCCGTGGGCTGTAGTTTGAGGACGCCTGGTTAAAAGCATCAGAATCAGCTGAGTGCGGTGGCTCACGCTTGTAACCCTAGCACTCTGGGAGGTTGAGGCAGGCAGATCGTTCAAGGTCAGGAGTTCGAAACCAGCCTGAGCAAGAGTGAGACCCCGTCTCTACTAAAAAGAAAAAAAATAGAAATTAATTGGTCAACTAAAAAAAAAGCATCAGAATCAGAGGGACTTTACTCTGTCTGAAGACCTGAGGGACCTGAGACCACTGTGGCTAGATCTGGGGGTGTCCCGGGTGTATCCAAGGCAGGGCAAGACAGCACGAGGCTGGGAGCCTGGGCGGAGCCTGGGGGAGGGCTCCTGGGGCCCCTCCCCGCCCTGAGGTCTGGATGCTGCCCCCGGGCTGAGTGCAGAGAGAAGACCAAGGAGGCCCTGCTGGAGCTGAAGACCATGCTGGAAGCCCACCCCAAGGTGGTGGCCCACTTCCCCGTGGAGGTGCGCTTCACCCGGGGGGACGACATCCTGCTGAGCCCCTGCTTCCAGCGGGACAGCTGCTACGTGAACATCATCATGTACAGGTGATGGCACGTGGAGGGGCGGGCGTGGGGCGGGAAACCATCCCCTCCAATTTAAAGGGACCCCTCTCCTTCCCTAGTCTTTTGATGCCAGTTCTAATGTCACCTTCTCTGGGGGGACTTTGCTGATCCTGGCAGCAGGGAACAGTCTCTTTCCCTTGAGTTCCTACAGCTCTTCCTCTCCGTAGACTCTTGCTGCATGCACCAATTCTAGTCTATACCCTATTAATGCAATGATTAGTATGAGTTCAAAAGTCGTATTAATAGGAACATTGACCATTTATGAAGCTGATATGATGGGATGGCAAGTACAGTCTGACAGCCTGGGGTGCCGTGTTGAGAAGGACTCCGGGGCCAGGTCGAAGGTCAGCGGGAGGGAGGATCATACTTATGCCAGGTGCTACGTGGACGCATTTGCCATCCAACCAGCCCTGCAGGGCACCGTGCAGGAGGGGCGAGGCAGGCAGGGGCAGGGCTCACCTCCTTCTCCCCCCTAACCAGGCCCTATGGCAAGGACGTGCCTCGGTTGGACTACTGGGTGGCCTATGAGACCATCATGAAGAAGGTTGGCGGCAGGCCCCACTGGGCCAAGGTAAGACCTGCCCCAAGGCTCGGGGCCCAGGCAGCCAGCAGCTGCTATGCAAGGCAACCTCCACCAGAGGGCGCCACTGCTCCCTGCCCCTCGGCGGCCCGGGGCTACAGGTCAGGAGAGGCTGAGCCCAGACCACCCCCTGCCCCAGCTCTTATTCCAACAGCCCAAGGACTGTGATGCCTTTGGAGTTTTCAGAGAAATCCTCATCTTCCACTGTATTTGATTCTGTTAGAAACCCTCTGAGCAGGATAAAGCAGGCATCATGGGCCCATTTAACAGATGGGAAAGTGAAGGTCACTCGAGGGTGGCAAGACTGACTTACTAATGAGCAGTGGGCCTGGGGCCAGAGCCACCTCCACTGCATCATGCAACCGGTGGCCGGGGCCGTGCAGAGAAGCCCCTCCTTTTTATTTGGCGTGTGTGTGTCCCAGGGCAAGGGCGCCATGCACACACGGGCTGCTGGGCCCGGCGGTGCAGCCTTGCGGACTCGCCCGGCTCTGGGCACGAGGCCCATGGCGTCTGGTTGCTTCCGCAGGCCCACAACTGCACCCGGAGCGACTTTGAGAACATGTACCCTGCCTTTCCAAAGTTCTGCGCCATCCGAGAAAAGCTGGACCCGACCGGGATGTTCCTGAACGCGTATCTGGAGAAGGTGTTCTACTGAACGGGCAGGAAGCCGGCCGCCCTGCCCAGGGGAGCAGACCTCCCTCCTTCCCCCGACCCCGTGTGATGAGCTGAGCCCCGGCAGCCCCCTTCCCTCACATCCTTTGTGCTCACAGAACCCCCACTGGAGATATAGACCCCGCGTCCCAAGCCTGAGACCACTGTATCCTATTTTCCCAGGAGAAAGGGGAGCCCTAACTTCTCACATAGTCGAGAAGGGCAGGGATTGGGTCATTCGCCGGTTCCACCTGGGTGTGGAAGTGGAATTCCCAGGGTCTGTAGCTTCAGGGGTTCCCTCTCCAGCCCTCATTGGAAGGAGGGGCCCTCGGCTCGTGTTTGGTCCCAGAAGTCGCGTGCACCGGGCTCTACTTTCTCTCATGGGGAGGGTCTTACAAATGCTCAGGTGAGCGCCCACCTGCCCTGGGACCGCCCCTTCTAGGTGGGCCTGGCCCTGCGCCCTCCCGTAGCCTGACCCACAGCTTGTCTGTTTCAGGGGTGTCTGGGCATTGGGACCCTCTGTGGCTTCTTAATAAAGACTAAGAATCAATCCCTCTCTGTTCCCTGCTCTTCACGTCCCAGGCAATGCTTTGGGAGCAGGAGGTCTCTCTTCTAGGGTAACAGGGTTTGGTCTTGCCTAGAAAATGCTTCTCATACTGCTTTTTCCGAGCTTAGTTTCAATCTGCCTCTGACCTGCCTGACTTTGTGGACTTCACGGAGCCCGTTCCTCCATCCTCTGCTACCCACCAAGTGCTGTAGGGGTATTAAAAGAACCTTAAGATATTATAGGTTCCTGCCCTCGAGAAATTTGTCTCCTAATCATTTCTCTCTTGAGCGGTTAATATCCAGAATACATAGAGAACTCCAACAACTCAACAACAAAAATACAAACACCCCGATCAAAAAAGCAAGCAAAGAATTCTAATGGACATTTCTCTAAAGAAGATACAAATGGCCAATGATCACATGAAAAGATGCTCAACATCACTACTCATTAGGGAAATGAAAGTAAAACCACAAGGAGATACCACTTCACACCAGTTTGAATCAGTATTAAAAGGAAATTAGCAAGTATTGGTGAGGATATGAAGAAATTGGGACCCTTGTGCTTTGCTGGTGGAAGAATGTAAGATGGTATGATGGTTTCTCAAAAAATTAAGCAGGACTGGGCACAGTGGCTCACCTGCAATCCCAGAGCTTTGAGAGGCTGAGGTGGGAGGATCACTTGAGGCTGGCCTAGCCTAGCCTTTACCTGGTTTTCTTCCCCATGAGGCAGGGTTTTTTCAGAGATCAAGAGAGGGCCGGCTGGGTGTGGTGGCTCACGCCTGTAATCCTAACACTCTGGGAGGCCGAGACGGGCAGATTGCTCAAGGTCAGAAGTTCAAAGCCAGCCTGAGCAAGAGCGGAAACCCCCGTCTCTAAATAGAAATAAATTAATTGGCCAACTCATATATATATATATAGAAAAAATTAGCCGGGCATGGTGGCGCATGCCTGTAGTCCCAGCTACTCGGGAGGCTGAGGCAGGAGGATTGCTTAAGCCCAGGAGTTTGAGGTTGCTGTGAGCTAGGCTGATGCCACAGCACTCACTCTAGTCTGGGCAACAAAGCGAGACTTTTTTTTTTTTTTGAGACAGAGGGCCAGAAAATTCTAGAACAGAGTTATAGAAATTTTGGTTTGTTATCAATTTTTAGTGCACTTTTACACGCACGGAGTGAGATGATACTGTGCTGTGCTCAAGGCCAGTACCTTGTACTGTCTGGGCTCGGGTGGTGATGAGAGATTTAAATGTGGAAAGTGAACAGCTTCCTTTGATGGTGTCACTGCATCTCTGGCTTTATACCCGCAAAGTCATTGGCACTGATGTCCAAACTCTGCCCATGAATGCGGGGCTGGGGTGAGTGTCCCCCTGTTCCCAGGGTGAGCCTTAGGCTGGGGGCTCATCTCTGTTATATTGGGCAGCCAAGGGGGGCCCGGTCGTGGGTAATATATGGTCCCAGCTCAAGGTCACCATCTTCGTTCGTTCCCCTGGGTGATAACAAATGAGGACAGGCAGGTAAAGGTGCTGTACCTCTGCCGTCCCCTTCCCTAGCCTGAGTAAGCCCCGGCCCCACCTTGGGGCGGGCCAGGGCCGGCTGGAGGCACCTGTTGGACCTCCGGGGAGCGAGCCCTCAGGGTGCTGGGGGAGTCACACACTCCGATGTCACCCAGCCGACACTGAGCAATGTCATAATCTGGGATTATGGCCGAGGGGTTGGGGGTCAGAGATTAACCGGATGAGCATGTGAGAATAGCTCGGGCAAACAGAGAGTTCATTATTAACCTCGTCTGCGTGTCCCATGGTCTGGCCTTCACTGCTGCCACGTTGGCTGACTGGTGATCGTCGGTTCTATTAATCAACCCTGAGCGTGGAGCTTGTTGCACTGTCTCTACAGCTACTTCATACTTCTGGGTTTGCCAAGCTATCCTCTTACAGCTGGGAAATGCCAGTTAACGCTACGTCAGGCTGGGACGCGGAGGCGGGAAGCCCTGGGCAGCTCAACGGTGGCAGTGAGGCCCAGTGTGCAGACTCGGGTTCGGTCCCAGCTCTGGCACTCACCGGCTGCGTGACTGCGAGTAGGTGCCCCCGTCAGTCCCAGCGTCCCGCCCAGGCCCTCCCCCAGGTGTCCTGCATGGTCCAGCCTCGTGCCCAGCTGTGGCTAGCTGCTCCAGCAACCAGCTGATTGCAGAGTCGAGACTCACTTGGATCACGAACGTGAGGCCATTTCACTCATTCTAACCAGCGTCCCCTCACTCGGTGACGTCTCAAGCAGGTCCTTTTGCTTCCTGAGTCTCTGCAGTTAATAGAACAGTTTGCTTGAGAACATCAGTCTCCTTTCCTCAGCAAAGAACGGCCTTTCTGCCAACCCTGCCCTGCCCATACCAGGGCGGCGTCCCGGCTCCAGCCCTGGCCTACTCCTGGCTACTTCACCGCAGCAGGCAGGCAACCCTGAGGTCCCTTCCACAGCCTCTGTGTGCCACGAAGAATTGGGGTGGGTGTTCCCACATTCTGGCCTTCCTGGCTACAGGACACTCCTCTGACGAAGGCTACCCCAGGAAGCCTTTGTCATGTGGAGGAAATAACCTCTGCCTTAAGGGTAATTGTGGGGACCTAGTGGGGTTACACAAAGCCTTTGGCCCAGGTATCAGAGCATTTTGGTTAGCCCAGCCAAGGCGGCCGTTCACAGTTGTGCAAGCTGTACACTGCACAACTCTGGTGTCACTTGCTTTGTAGTCATCAGAGATTGTATTTTATTACATCCAACGACCCTCAAACCCAGGCCACTGTGCAGAAGGGGAAAGAGGGTGCAGACAAGGGGTCCCAGGGAGGCTCAGAGGCAGGTTTCAGATCTGCCTTTTAGGGTGCTAATATATGAGAGTTTAAAGTAGGTGCATGAAAAAAAATTTAAATACTGGATATAGTGACTGCCAGAATCTAGCAACATAAAGGAAAAGAGAAAGTAATTTTTGAAACATGCCATGTGACGTTAATGTGACATGTACTTTGTAATTATGGTCATTTAAATAAATCCCTTCTAACCCCATAATCCTAGTTAATGTGTACCATTAAGTGAATGATACTAACTTTATTCTGGATTTCCTTGACAGCAATACTAAAATACTTACTTTGGATACAAGCTAAGCCTCACGAGTTTGTGGTTTGTGTAGCTGAGGTGCTTATAACCTAAAAGACAGACAAGGGACAATGACCTAAGCTGTGATTTACACTTGGACTTTGCTAATATTCTGGGTGCAGCCAGGTGACTTTTTTTCCCATTTGCAGTATACTCGATGGACAGAATTCTATAATGAGAGCCTGTTGAAGAACGAGAGGTTTTGTTGTGCGAAGGTTGAGATTTGTACCGTGGGTGGTCAGCGCCACCTGCTGGCAGCACTGGGTACTGCAGTCCAGCTATATTTCCAGACTGAGCAGAGAAATTCCTGTGGTCCAGGGAAAAAGAAGTGAAGATTGCATGACCTGGCAGAGGACAGACAAAGCCACCGTCAAGAAAGTGCCCCAGGAATTCTGAGCTCTTACAACTGAACAGAAAACTGCCTCACTTGGTCTTTTGGGGCCTATGGTTTCCATAAGGAAAATATTAATTACGTATTAAAATATTCAGTGTGCCTTACCATCGCCTTAATTTTCAGTGTATTCCTTCAGATTTGCCCTCACCCCGCTCAGCATACTCTGACAGTTTTGTAATGGAATGGGACGTTCATTTTTCAGGAAGGCATTTTAGCTGGCTTGTTGGAATGCACCTCTCTTCCTGAAAGGAAGACATTCTTGAATCGGGCCGATTTCGCCTCCACACCCCTTTCATTCCTCACTGTACGACAGTCTCTGCTGCCTCTTAGCCAACTGCTTTTTTTTTTTTGTTTCTGCTTCTTTTTTTTTTACCTCCCACGCCAAAACGTAGGCATGCAGGGGCCAGAAACCCCACAGGAAAAGGGGAGGCTCAGAGCACTCGGATCACAAAGCAGATTTATTGAATTAGTCGCATGTGGGGCAGCTCTCCCCCCCGCGGCAGAGGCAGGTGTTAGATGCGGGATCCAGAGGGGACGGGGCTGGGTGGGCCTGGTCACTTGGCACGCGGCGCTCTCTCTGGGCGGGGGCGCTGGCTCATCTGGGGGAGCTGGCCTCAGGCGCCCCGTGCGTGGAAGAGCATCGCCCGCATCTCACTCCTCTCTGAAACACAAAAGAAGCCAGGCTGGGGCAGGGGAGGGCTTAACGTTCAGTGAGAGCAGCGCCCAGCGCTCAAACTCTCATCCACCACGGAAGAACGTTCTCCAAAGGAAAAATAAATAAAACTCCCAGTGGTTTCCTGGCTTCGGCCTTGGGCTCTGGCGCCACGAGCAGCCGTTCCCACCAGACAACGTCCTCTTTCCCTTTCCTCGGCTCCCAGGGAGCGGCCGGGCCCACTCACCGGTACTTTCTGCGGTATTCCTGCAGCGCCTTCTCTGCCACCGTCTCTATAAATTTAGGGTTGTTCCTAGAGACTTCTTCTGAGACCCACACAGTCATGGGGTCCGAGCCAAAGAGCCTCACAGACACCCCAGTGGCACCAGAGGGAGCCTCCGAGTCAGGAGCTCGGGACGTCACCTGGAAGGAAAACAAGAACAGAAGAGCTCAAACGTTATGGTTAAAACGCACGTATTCTGCAACACAAGTCAGGCTTTCAGTAGGGAAGGCCTCCTGTTCCTTCCAGAAAATCTGGACAGCTGACCCCGTCGCTTCTTACTAATCTAGACATCCGTACATCTCAGTGGACAGAAATGTCCCAGTTCACAGACACGCACTTGTGGGGGCAAATGCCATCTGCAAATGACCAGCCCAGGGGGCACCCCAGAGAATAAAAGTGGTTTCCAAATATTTCCTTTGGGCAATCACTGGCCAGACAGACTGTGGTAGGGGGGAAAAAAAAGAATAGAAAAGGGGGGTAAAAAAAGCATTGCTAGCACCAGAGAGAAGTTTTTATCACTGGCAGAGAACAAGGCACCAATTCATGAGCCTGTCCACATGGCAGAGGGCAGCCGTGCAGCTTTGAGGAAAGAACACAGGCTTCTGGTTTGTTCCTGGCATTGGCACCAAAAATTTAAAAATTTTTAAAAAAGAGGCCAGGCGCAGCTCACTCCTATAATCCTAGCACTCTGGAGGTCAAGGCCGGGGGGGGGGGTTGTCATTGAGCTCAGGAGTTCGAGACCAGCCTAGCAAAAGTGAGACCCCGTCTCTACTAAAACTAGAAAGAAATTAATTGGCCAACTAAAAATATATAGAAAAAATTAGCCAGGCATGGTGGCGCATGCCTGTAGTCCCAACTACTCAGGAGGCTGAGTCAGGAGGATCGCTTGAGCCCAGGAGTTGGAGGTTGCTGTGAGCTAGGCTGGTGCCACGGCACTCTAGCCCTGGCAACAGAGTGAGACTCTGTATCAAAAACAACAACAACAAAAAGAGTGCAGGCTTTGCAAGCCAGGCAAACAGGTCCAAGTACCCAGGTGAGTCAGTGATCTGTTACCCAACCTTGGGCAGGCTGTGGAGCCTCTCACTTTCCCCATCTGTTAAATGGGCTCGTGACATTTGACTCCCCAGGGTGACAAGGCTGCCAGGCGGCAAGGTACGTCAAGTTTTTACAACTCCTGCCAGGTGATGAATGCGCAATCAAAAGCTTGCACGCCCCCGCCTTGGTATCTTTATCTCATTTCAAGTCTGCGGAGGTGCGTACCAGCTCCGATCACACCTCGAGCCCCCAGAGTGTCAGCGTGCGCCGGGACAGAACTCACCGTCATGACCTGCAGGTAGTACTGGTCCTCGCCCTGGGTGAGGTTAGCCAGGCGGGACACCCAGTTGAACTGCTCGTTCAGCCGGTCCAGCAGGGAGGAGGTGTTCAGCATCTTCCACTGGTAGGACTGAAGCAGGTCGTTGTACTTCTTGGTCAACTGCTCGGCGATCCGCAGGGAGTCGTTGAGCTCCTGCCGCAGCTGCTCCTGAGAGGGGCTGTTGGCCGAACAGTCTGCCGGGGGTGGGAGGAACCAAAGGCAGAGGCGTGAAGGGAGAGTTAACAGCCCGCACGGCAGGGTCCCCGGGCCGCACCACCCTCAGTGGTGTCCACAGACCGTCTGTTATGGTTCGTGACAAAGTATTTAGTAAAGAGTTCGCCCCAGGCCGGGCGCGGTGGCTCACGCCTGTAATCCTAGCACTCTGGGAGGCCGAGGCGGGAGGATTGCTCAAGGTCAGGAGTTCGAAACCAGCCTGAGCAGGAGTGAGACTCCGTCTCTACTATAAATAGAAATAAATTAACTGCCCAACTAAAAATATATAGAAAAAATTAGCCAGGCATGGTGGCGCATGCCTGTAGTCCCAGCCACTCGGGAGGCTGAGGCAGAAGGATTGCTTGAGCCCAGGAGTTTGAGGTTGCTGAGAGCTAGGCTGACGCCACAGTACTCTAGATAGAGTGAGACTCTGTCTCAAAAAAAAACAAGCAAGCAAACAAACAAAAAAAACAACTACTATTTTTCTTCCCTTTAGCTATTTCAAAAATATGCAAAGGAGGGAATATCAAATCTAAGAGGAAAAGAGATCTTTGCACACTTCAGAATGGTGACTGCAATCATTTATATCAAAATAAAACAAAATGTTAGGTGTGGCAACAAATAGGATTACTAACCAGAAGCCAGGCTGGAAAGAAATATGTGATCAATAATCTTAACTCTTTTATTGGGAAATAATTGAAAAATAAGAAAAGTCCTTGGAAACAGAGGCTCAGTCTAGAAGTTCCCAGCTAGGGGGGCAATGCTGTCCTCCAGGGACATGTGGCAAGTTCTGAAGACATTTTGGTGGTTGCAATTGTTGGGGTTGCTGGCAAGTGGTGGGTAAAGGCCAAGGATTCTACTATGCACCCCACAATGCACAGGACAGCCCCCCACAACCAAGAAAGTCCTGGTCCAAAATGTCAACAGTGTTGAAGTTTGAGAAACGCTAGTCTAGAGTTCCCGGGAGGCACAGAGGTCCCGACTGAGCCCAGGCATCCGTACTTTGTTTCTTCTTCCTCTTTCTTCTTCCTCTTCTTGTGGTGAGGCACTGTGTCATTTATGCTAGTCTAGAATGTTCTTACGGGAAAAGCCCAAAGGCTTGGTTGTGAACTCATCGACAGCGTCATACGTCAGCCTCGTAAAGCACTGGTATTTATTCTGTGGTGGCTTCTGGAATTACAGGAGTGAAGCTGGGGCTAGGTGAGCCGGGCAAACTCACTCGTGTGAAGCAAGAGCAAAGCCACAAGAGTGATAAGCGATTCAGAAGCAGAAACAATTAACTCTTTCCGAGCGTAAATTCCCATGTACCAGGAACTATTCTAAACACTTTTGCAGCTGTTAGGTCAAAGCGGGAACAAGCTAATCAATGACCAAATCCAATCAAACAGAGAGGAACGGCTGAAAAGAAATATTCCCTTTGCCTAGAGGACCAGCCAACCAAAGGAATACTGCCAGGATGCCAAAGTCCCCCGACCGGTGGCCCGAGGCTCCCAGAGGTCCCCAGGGAGAGAACACGGTGGCGCACTGGCTGAGAACAAACCCATCCCAGACGTCTGGGCTCGAATCCCAGCTCACCCACATGGGTAAGTTACTAGCACTTCTAGGACTGATTTCCTGGTAGGGTCGCTTTGAGAAAATGACTAGTCTGTGAAGTGACTAGAACAGTGCCTGATACATGGTGAGTTTTGTTAAATAAAATACACACTATCTAAAGTTTCCTAACCTGCAGCAAAAATGAGGATGTCCACTGTGCTCGGCCTTTGGGACAGAATAACCGGGGAATCAAAGGCGAAAGGCTTTCTCTAGCAAAAGCACAGCAGCTTGCGGACTGCGGGCGGCCTGTGTTCCCCGGGCCGGACGAGGGGCAAGTGGAAAGTGCCCCCCGACCCCAGGACACCCGGCACTGTAACCCTGTCCTGCAGAGGACCAGCCCCGCTGTGCGAGGCTCAGGACCCGCCCTGGGCCACAGCTGGGATCTGGGTGCCCGTCCGTCTGGCCCCATAAGGGCGGCCCCAGTGATGCACCCGTGACCCAGGACACAGGCCACCGATGGCAGGGGGCGGTTTGTGGTCTGGCCCCGACTCACCCACGGACAAGATCTCCTGGCACTTCTCACACTGGTCCTTCATCTTCAGGCAGCCCGTGGAGTTGTGGCGGATTTCTCGGCACACGGCACGGTTGTCCTCGTCGCCTTCTAGAGACACGCACGGGAGAAAGTGTCAGGCCGAGGCGTCCAGCCACACAGAGACGGGCCCACTGACCGTCCTGAGCCCTTCCATGCTCCTGCGTGGCCCTTGGAGAGGGTGCTGTGGCCAGAGCAGGACAGAATTTGTTTTTGTCTGCAGACACAGGCCTGTGCTCAAGGTCCCTGCAGATGTCCTGTGCCCCTGGGCTGGGGATGGCCTCCCCTCCCCCATCTCCATCACAGGCGTCCTCTCCTGCTGCCACAGCCCTCAACGGTCTGCTCTCCGCGGTGGCACCATAACCCCTGCTATTCCGCATCTACCTGGCTCTCTGTTCCTAGAGGGTGTGCTGGGTGGGCAGCACACCCCCAGGGACAGGTGTGAGCCTCCTGACACCACAGAGTCCACTGTCATAGAGGCACAATAAGTGCTTATGCAACTTTATCCATTTCAAGCCAAACCCTGGTACTGGTCAAATTGCAGCGTACAGAAGACGTATCAGCCAACACATGTCTATTGTGTCAATGAAGGAAATCACTCCTTAAAATTTTGGCTTTTCATATCCACATTAAACTTCCTTTATTCAAAAAATATGCATGGAGCACCCTTTTTATACCCAGCCCTAATGTCACAGCCCCAAACAACTTCCTTATTCATAATATGGGCTGATTATATAATTTGTCACCAACACGTGCACACCTTCCACACAAAGCCCCGAGCTCCCAGGGGAAAGGGCTCTGGTTCTGTAGGACCAGGAGTCACTATGACACCCCTAGCAGTTGCGGGAAGGGACAGGGCTTTCTGGAAAGAGCAGACGCCAAGCCCTGCAGTGTCAGGCTGCACTGGATCCCGCTTTGTCAGTGTGCAACCCTGGACACGGGCCTTTCCTTAGTTTTCGTCCTCTTTAAATGGGGATAAGAACACCTCCAAGGGGTTGCTGGAGAAAAATCAAGATGACACCTGCCACGCCCCCAGCGCAGTGCTGGATATCTAAGGGGTCGCCCCCTTCCTCGGGCGAAGGAGACACCGGTCTAACCTGCTATGAAGTCCATCTGCGGGGGCCGGAAGGCGGGGCTGTGGAGGTCGATTTCCATGGCCTGCTGGGCCTGGCGGATCATGTCAAAGAAGGGCTGGAACATGTCCTGGAAGTTGAGGGGCTCGAACGGGGCGTACGGCAGGAGGCTGCGGGCGAAGCGGGACTTGGGGAACAAGATGTGCGGCCTCCGGTGCAGCAGGTCAAAGGGCTGGTAGTGGGAGATGCCCGGGTACTCGCGCGTGAAGAACTTGTCCCGGAAGAGCTCGTCTATGATGCTGGACGCCTGGCCGAAGTGGTCCTGCATGATGTCCAGCATGTGGCTCTGCTGCCGGTCGCTCTCCAGCAGCGAGTCCACGCGGTCGCCGTTCATCCAGAAGTAGAAGGGCGAGCTCTGGTTCAGGAACTCCTCGAGCTGGGGCGGCCGGAACAGCATGGTCAGGGGAGGCTTGACCACAGCCACAGCCTCCCGTGCCACAGCCTCCTCCCGTGCCTCCCTCTGGGCCACACGGGCCAGGCCGTGCCCCTCGCCATGACAGTCACACGGCAGGTGACCGAAGGCCCAGCTGGGACCGGCCCCCAGGTGTCCCAGCTGTCAGGCCCTTTCGTTCTACCCCCCTCCATGGCGGAAAGTTTGGAGACACCGTGAGCCCAAGAGAGCCACAGAGCCCGCCTGTCACTTCAGATCGGTCTTTGGCCACTGATGACACCCGCCCCTGCTCAGCTGGGGGCCACCCTCGGGGATCGGTGCAACTCATTGAGTCCCGACCAAGAGGGGCCCACAGCTGAGGACAGGATCAAGGTGCATGTGCTCACAGTTCTTAATTCGTTCCCCTTAAGGGGACACAGGGCTCTGCCATGCCACAAAGGCTTTTGTGACGTTATCCAGCTAATCACTGCTGGATAACACTCTTCCGAGACTACCGTCCCCAACCCTCGGGCCGCTCCCCATCCCAGACCCCTACTGTAAACTGTGCATGGAAGGGTCTACGTTGTGCCTCCTTATGAGAACCTAATGCCTGATGATCTGAGGTGGAGCTGAGGCGGTGATGCTAGTGCTGGGGAGCAGCAGCAAATCCAGATTATCACTAGCAGAGACGTTTATATGATTGTTTCATTACATATTGCAATGTAATAATAATAGAAATAAGGTGCACAATAAATGTAGTGCACTGAAATCATCCCCAAACCATCCCCCTCCCATCTGTGGAGAAATTGTCTTCCATGAAACCAGTCTTTGATGCCAAAAAGGTTGTGGACCGCTGTTTTAACAGACGGCAGATACCTGACCGACATCCTTATGTCTGCACCTGTGCCAGACATTACCAATAGAGCATGGCACTCTAGGCCCCAGTGCAGCTAGCCAGCACTAATCAACTGCGTAGTTCACTGGGTTCCCCTCATTCCCCACTCGGAGCCTCGGCCACACACATGTCCCCTTTCACCTGGTGGCCAACCACGCCCGAGCCGCTTCTGCAGACGCGCGCGTAGAACTTCATGCAGGTCTGCTTCAGGCAGGGCTTGCACTCTTCCCAGAGGGCCATCATGGTCTCGTTGCACACTCCCGATAACGCCTTCAGCCTCGTTTCCGAGTCCCTGGTCTCATTTAGGGCATCCTACGGGAAGGCACGATGAGGCCGGGTGAGCCCCACGGAGATCACAGGCTTCACGCCTGCGGTCTGGGGGTCCCCAGCCCTGCTCCAGCTCAGGTTTCCCTCCTTCGCCCACCCGGAACGTGGGTGCTCTCCCCCCGGCTCTCAGCATCCCCGGTGACGGGAGCCACTGCTCTCCAGCGTCCTTCCCGACTCCTGGAACCCACGCGCACTCTCCCCTCTCGGCCTCAGAGCACTGACGCTGCCGCAGGGGTGAGCTCCCACGAGGCCTCAGTTTCTACTCTCGGCTTCTGGTGCTTCAATGTCACTTTCCAGAGCAGGCTGAAGGCTCCCTGAATCTTACTTTGCTGTTGCCGCCTTGGCCCCTGGCATGCAAAGGGAGTCGCAGGCTTCCCAAACCAACGCCTCGCCAACCACCAATGCCCTCTAAAGTGCCCTCGCCACTTGACCCCAAAGTTGAGTAAGAATCTATACCAAAGACTCCCCCTAATAAGAAATCTGTATGTGTAAATATATTTGTTATAGTATTAGTTTATGACAAAGGAAAATCAGAATCAACCCAGATGATCAAAAATAGAAGACAAGTTGAACAAACTGCAGTACACACAAAGGGCAGATAGCACAGCGTTACAAGGGATGTTTATAATAAGTTTTAAAATTATCATATGCATTATGTTAAAAATTCATAATATTAATGTAGCCACTGTCAAAAAAAGTACAGAGAAACAGAGTAGTAAGAAATAGATCATGTGTGAATAGTGAATTGTCTTTGGGCAAAAGGATTATGGAAAAACTTTTCCTCTTCCACTTTGCTATCTTAAAATGTCTATGAATGAGTGTGACTCTTCAAAAAAAAAAAAAAAACTGATGCCAAGAGACGACATGAAGTTTGAAAGAAAGTTAAAGCCGTAACCAGGCGAGCGTTCCCTTAAGTGGCTTCCATAGAATTGTGCTAAAAGAGGTTAGGAAAAACAAAATGAATCCCCTGGTCAATTTGATTTGGAAAACTCTGGGTTAAATGAAGTTCCAAGAGTTTTATTACTGCAGAACTTCTCAGAGCCTTTAAAATGCTTTTCGCATGCATGATGGATCATGAAGGCAGCAGGTGGCTCCAGCTTAGCAGCTCCTTCTTGGGGGTGGCGTGGGAGCATGTTCTTATGGTACTCTTAAGGAGATTACTGATTTTTTTTTTTTTTTTTTTTGAGACAGGATCTCAGTCTGTTGCCCAGGCTAGAGTGAGTGCCGTGGCGTCAGCCTAGCTCACAGCAACCTCAAACTCCTGGGCTCAAGCGATCCTCCTGCCTCAGCCTCCCCAGTAGCTGGGACTACAGGCATGTACCACCATGCCCAGTGATTTTTTTCTATATATATTAGTTGGCCAATTAATTTCTTTCTATTTATAGTAGAGACGGGGTCTCACTCTTGCTCAGGCTGGTTTTGAACTCCTGACCTTGAGCAATCCACCCGCCTCCCAGAGTGCTAGGATTACAGGGCGTGAGCCACCGCGCCCTGCCTGAGATTATTGATTTTTAAAATAAGCTGTTCATTGAATTATAGTGTTTTAGTTTTGTTGCCTCATTAAGCACAGGCTAGCCCTGCTATGTCCACTATTGGACTTAAGGTGTCTCTTTATGAAATAGTCCAGAACTCTAGAAAGACAGGGTCACCCAGCGTGTGCCTGCCCTAACCCGACCGTATCACCCCCACTAGATAAGCTTCTAGAAAGGAGGGCGCCTTCCCCCGCCCCACCCCTCCCACCACCCTAACCAGAGCCTCACTCGGAGCTGCACAGGGCCGAGGTTTAGAGACATCTACTGAAGGGTATCTGGGCGCCAGGCCCTGGGCCAGACTTGGAACAAAACCAGATTCAAGATCAGACCCTGTGAAGCTTTCAAAAGCGAATAAACCTTCCCTATTTCCTAACAGCAGCCCCAGCATCAGCTGAAGCAGCCCTGGGAGGACTGTGGGTCACCATGGCAACCCAGCAAGGCCCCCCGCAACGCCCCCCTCCCCTCCAGCAAGAGGGCCGGGGCGGCGGTGGTCAGCAGGCCCCTCCTTACCTCTTTCTGCTTCTTGGCCTGCTCTAGGACGTGCAGCAGTGACTTGCGCTCTTCGTTGGTTTTTACTATTAGGGACTTTATCTCTTTCACCCCGTTGACAGCATTTTGAATTTCCTTATTAATGTACTTACTCCCCTGGTTGGACATTTCTGCAAGAGAAGGGCAGGAGGTAGACTGAGGCGAGAGGAAGTGATGGCGTGGGGCTGTCACCCTGGAACCAGCTGGAATGATTAGAAAGGGACATTCAGTCCCGGGGCTGCCCAGGCTGGGACTCCCGCTCCCCCACTGGCACCGTCACAACCCCAGCCTCTCCCTGACACAGGTTCCCGTCACAGCCAGACACGGGAGCCAGCGCACCTGCGTCGTTACTCTGGACACAGACCTTTCTGGAACTCAGTCTAACCAGACATTTGTGCTTGGTTGTTCCCATGCACGGTGCCAGGCGATGGGGACAGGAAGACGAGTGAGCGATCGGGGCACAGCCCTGGTGCCAGATGCTACGGAACACCGTGTCACCCAAGTGCCACTCGTCGGGTGCCTGTCCCAAGTGAGCGCGGTGCCAGACACTTCATGTGCATCTCGCGGAACGGTCCGGCACCGTCACCACGCCCACGCCACAGACGAGGAAAAAGCAGAGGGAGGAGGCGCCCAGGGCAGAGTGTCAGCAAGGCAGGAGGAGGCTCTGCGGGTCTGCCGGGCGCTGGCGCCTGCAGTTGGCGACACGGCGTTGCGACCTGGAATTTGCTAAGGGACTAGATCTTATGTGTTCTCACCACACACAGAAAAAGGTAACTGTGTCAGGTGACGGATCTGCTAACTAGCTCGACAGTGATAATCATTTCACAACGTATACGTCTCGCAACACATCACGTTGTACACCTTCAATATATATGGTTTTTATTTGTCAATTAGACCTCAATAAAAATGAGGGAAGAGGCCGGGCTCGGTGGCTCACACTATAATCCTGGCACTCTGGGAGGCCGAGGCAGGAGGATTGTTTGAGCCCAGGAGTTTGAGACCAACCCATGCAAGAGCGAGACCCCGTCTCTACCAAAAATAGAAAGAAGTTAATTGGACAAAATTAGCCAGGCATCATGGTGGCACATGCCTGTAGTCCCAGCTACTCGGGAGGCTGAGGCAGGAGGATCGCTTGAGCCCAGGAGTTTGAGGTTGCTGTGAGCTAGGCTGACGCAGCAGTCGCGCCCTCTGGCCTCGCCACCTTGCAGCCCTCCGGAGTCTCGCGGTTCTACTTACCCTGGAGCTCCTTGCTGGACACCACCTGGTCTCCCTGGTCTCCCAGGACCTGCCCCCTCTCCCAGGCCATCAGCAGCCCCACAAACAGCAGCAGAGTCTTCATCGCGCCTCCCTCTGCAATTCTGGAAGCCCAGCTCGCCTCTGCGGGGAACAGGAGACCATCATGGTAACAGCTAGACAGCCGCTGGTTGCCTGCCCAGCCTGCCGCCTGCCTGCGGCAGCTTCCCAGGAACCTGCAGGACTCGGTGCCCTCGGCTGTCCCCTCAGGGGGCACTGCTGCATTTTTATCCCCGAGGAAACTGGGGGCAGAGACCAGACTTGCCACTGACACTTCAAAAAAAAGTGAAGGCGGGAGGTACAGGGAGGGAGGAACTGCAGACGGCCGTGGGGCAGAAGGAACAAGGACGTTCGTGGCAGAGGAGCCAGGCTCCCATCCCCGCCGCCTCCTTCCCCGCAGCAGCTGCATGCGCCTCCGCCTGGCACGCGGCCTCCTTGTGCCTTGTCCAGAAAGGGCGTCTATCATCCCAAACACCGAAAATACCTTCCCAGAGTCACTCCTGCGTCCCTCCCCGTGCCCCCCTCCAGAAGGACCACATCCCAGGCCCAGCCCTGTCCCCTGCAATGTGCACTGCAACCCACCCCTCACCCCTGCAGCAGACCATGGGATTCCCGCACGGAGCCCCAGCACCACTTGAACTGGCTTTTCAAGAGTCTAAGGCAGTAAGAGCCAGCCCCTGGCTTGGCATGGAGATTAAATCCATCTGCATCCCAGGCGAGCAAGCACGTGAGCCCTGAGCTGGGCATTGAGAGCTGTGAATAGAGTAGAGCCAGGAAGGAGGACGCTTCTCCGCAGGGGGCAGAGAGGAAGGGCAGGGTCGGAGGGTTAACGGTGAGGCTGCCCCTTTGCTCTGCCCAGCCCCTTCACACGGCCCATCCTCTCTAAGCCCACAGCACTGTGCCCTGCTGGTGTTGCCAGCACCACCGGGCTGGCTGCCCTGAGCCAGGGGACATGGGCCACAGCCCGGGTCTTACACAATGGACCCTTTCCCAGAAGCTGAAGTTGTTGCATAAAACAGAATCCCTCCCCTCCCCCCTTGCTTATCTGAGCTCACCCATTTCCCATAACAGGAAGAACCGGGAGGGCCCCCCCCACTGCCTGCAATGGTCCCCATCCAAAACCTGCTCAGCCCTGCGGGCCCATCTGGACACCGGGTACAACATTAATAAGGAAAGCTTCTCATCAAAGTCATTAGGCACGCACAGCACAGGCGCAGCGTGGGAGAAGAGACGGGGTCAGTGCCTTCACTAAGACGGGGTGGGCGGCTGGATGGGCTCGCCAGGACTACGGCAGTGGGTCACACGGGCTCCCACCCAGCTGCCCACTGAGGCCTGAAATGCGTCCAGTAGGGACAGAGCCTTTGTCACACCAGAGACAAAGCCAGCCAGAAACACCTCTCTGCGGGGACCCCTGGGAAACCCCTACAGAAAGAGGTTCCAACCAGAAGACAGGGTGCTGTACCCCGAAGAACCGGGCAGCAGGGCAGGGCACTAGGGGAGGGGTTGCACGACTCAGCAGCGGGCCCAGGGTCTGCCACCAGGAGCCTGGGGTCCCTGGCAAGCCACCAAGCTCAGAGCTGAGAAAGGGATCATTCTCCCACCCACCCCCTCTGCCTTAGAGGGGAGACTGCAGCCCAGAGCTGACAAGGGGCTCCCCAAGCCCACAGCAAGCTCATGGCAACCCCAGGATGAGAACACAGCCCTCCCAACACCCAGGCCAGTATTCTTCCCTTGCCACAGAGTCACTTAAGCCTCTGAGCCTCAGTTTTTTCATCTGTAGAATGGACCTAATACAGACCTCAGAGATGACTGTATTCTGTAAACATGAGGGTCTTATACCATCATATTAAATTCTGACTACTTCAAAATCGGACCCAGGACCAATCCTGGGCATTGGCAATGTCTAGCGGGCATGTCTGGAGAGCAGCAGGAAACTGAAGCAGGCCCACAGAGACCACCTGCGGTCTCCCCTCCCCTGAGTGTGTGGCTCTGCCTTGGTGAAATGATCAGCTACCTTTTAAAGCGCTTATGAATTACGAGGCGGGCTTGTTCTCATGCTGGTTCTGAGTGCGAATTTGCTTTGCTGGCGAGCTCGCAGGGGAGGTGATGCTGCTGGCCCAAGGACGGCGCCAGAGCAGCAGCTGCACAGCTGAACCGCCCTGTCCCCCCCCCTCCCGCCTCCCGGGCACCTGGCCACCAGCCACCCCACGGACAAGCCACGCGGAGGCCAAGGCCCTCGAGTCCCCACCACTACGACACAGCTTCTTTCCCCCTAGGGAGGCTTAAACCACCAGGCCTGGCTGCTTTGACCTGAAAAGGCAGGCCCTGGGAACAAGGCGGCTGTATGGGACAAGGAGGAGGAGACAGACGAGGATCAGGTGGACCTGGAGGGGAGCTCTGCTCCAGGCACACCCTCCTGGGAGCCTGAAACTCACCAGCTTCCCAAAAGCACACCTGCAAAGCCAGAAATGTCCCAGCAAGGCCGGGCTGGGGGCTTAGGAACACCAGCAACAATGTATCAAGAGCTGTGGGAAGCACACGGGGACAAGCCAGCAGAGTCGCAAACCCAAAGCCCTGGCTCCTACCCAACTGCCTCCCCATTTGGAGAAAACTAAACCAAAAGGAAAAACGAGAAAAGGAGTCACCTGTAATCACCCCACCCAAAGGCAAATATTGACACTGGTATACTTCCTTCCATCTTCTTTGCATTTTTATATCATCATATCCTTTGCACCCCCGTCCTCAAATATTCTTTGTTTCTTTATTTATTTTTTTGAGACAGAGTCTCGCTTTGTTGCCCAGGCTAGGTGGTGTCATCCTGGCTCACAGCAACCCCAAACTCCTAGACTCAAGCAATCCTCCTGCCTCAGCCTCCCGAGTAGCTGGGACTACAGGCATGCGCCACCATGCCCGGCTAATTTTTTCTATATATATTAGTTGGCCAATTAGTTTCTTTCTATTTATAGTAGAGACGGGGTCTCACTCTTGCTCAGGCTGGTTTTGAACTCCTGACCTCGAGCAATCCACACGCCTCGGCCTCACAGAGTGCTGGGATTACAGGCGTGAGCCACCGGGCCCGGCCTCAAATATTCTTTAAAAGCACATTTTTGTGGCTGTATAAGATCCTACTTTCTGGCCAGGTGCACTGGCTCACACCTATAGTTCTATAGGCTCACACCTATAGTTCATTCTCGGAGGCCAAGGCGAGAGGATCATGCTTGAGGTCAGGAGTTCGAGACCAGCCTGAGCAAGAGCGAGAGACCCATCTCTACTAAAAATAGAAAAATTAGCCTGGCAACTAAAAATAGAAAAAGTTAGCCAGGCATCGTGGCCCGTGCCTATAGTCCTAGCTACTTGGGAGGCTGAGGCAGGAGGATCGCTTGACCCCAGGAATTTGAAGTTGCAGTGAGCTATGATGATGCTACTGCACTCTAGCCTGGGCAATAGAGTGAGACTCTGTCTCAAAAAAAAAAAAAAAAAAAGATTCTACTTTCTGATGTACCCAAGTTTATTTTACCATTCTCACAAGGTTAGGCATTTGAGTTGTCTCTAATGCACCAATATTATTATAATTTACATTCTCAAGAGCATCCTTTTACAGCAGCTATTTTACATTCTGAAATTTCTAACCTCTCCCTTTAAGATAATAGTAATAATAATCAGCTTATTTTTTTTTACTAGGTCCAGAAATTCTGGAAGGCCAAGGGCCTTTGGCTGTAATCCCGGTTCCGACACTTATTTGCTGATTAGCTGGAGACAGTCCTAAACCTCGCGGGGCCTCAGATTATCATCTGTAAAATGAGACAGCGGTATCAGACATCTGAGGCCTGATGGAGTTTGTGCGACTTTTCTCTGCTGCACGTTGAGTGCATTAGAAAGCAGAAAAAGTAGGATTTAGGTGGTTGCAGCATATACTTAAATCCATGACATCGCACTGAGAAACACACTATGAGAGAACTAGAGAACTCGGAAGAAAACAAGATGACTGGTGCGCAAGTCGGCAGCAGCAGCACCTGAAGGATCAGCATCCTCTCCCGGGAGACGGTGCGGCACCCTCCCCCCGCCCCCCACCCCCACCCCTGTCCGCAACCTGCTAGCTGGGGCCTCCCGCAAGGCGCCGCAGGTCTCCAGGGCTCAGTTTCCCCAACTTTGCAAAAGCAGGGGCATTACACCTGTCCTATTTACCCCCATGGAATGGTGGCTGGAGCTCAGTGCACGCAGAGCCCGAGTCCCAGGCTGCGTTCCCCCGCCACCCCGCCGCAATTCGGCCCCGGCTCAGCTGCCCGCCGGTGGCGCTCCCGCCACCTCCCTTCCCAGGCTTCCCCGGCTCCACCTAAAGTGCGGGGCTATGGCGGCGACTTGTCATCGCTCCCGCCCGGCTGCCACCCCCGCCTGCCCGTCTGTGTCCGCGCAGGGGCAGGGAGACGGGCCATCTCACCGCTTGCAGCACCCGGCGCCCGCGCTGCTCCTGGCGACGCCGCGTGGAGACACGGCGAGGCGCCGTATTTATAGCGCTGGGCTCGCGCACACCCACTTTGGGGCTGGCTGCAAACCTGCGTGACTCACGCCCAAAGAATGCCGCGCGATGCACCGGGAGCTTTCTGGAAGCGGGGAGGTGGGGGGCGGGCGCAGCACCGGGCAGGGGCGCCGAGGGGGGGGGCGCGTCGGCAACGCGAATGGCCGCCCTGGTTCCAGGGGACGCAGGGGTGCGGCCGCGCTCCGCCCCCCGCCAGCCGGGCGCCCCTCTCCGTAGGATTGGAGGGGTCCGCTGCGCCCCTGGCCCGGTCCCAATCCAAAATACAGTACGACGGTTCCCCGCCCTATTGAACGTTAACCTTTCACGCGGCACAGGCGCCACTTCTCTTAGGGCATTGAAATAGGAAAGTGTCGGACAGACATGGGGAGGCTGGGTTGTGCTACAAAAGACAACACAGGGGCACTGAAGTGCAGACTCCGTGACCATCGCGTGGCGGTGGGTCCCTCCACTGACCTGGTGGGGGGCGGACACAGAATCGAGCAGAGCGTGTGTCAGGGGGGCCAGCAGCCCTCTCCTGGCTCCTTGATCCAAGAAGCTTAAAGCAATTATTGTCCCCATCCACTTGGGGCCCAGCCAGGCAGGGTGGGCTGCATGGGGGTGGGACCCCTGCAGACGAACACTTGGTTTAAGGCACTACAGTTGCAGTCTGGAATTTCTTGACAGTTTTCGGATGCGGGGCGCTACATTTTAGGCGTTCACTGGGTCTGGCCAATGAGGCAGCCAGATAGATCTACCTCCAGAGGGTTTGGCTGGAAGCAACACTGCCATGCTGTTCCTTCTGCCCCAAACACTGCACCCTCCGACACAGAAGGAACAATCCAGAAACCCGGGGAGGGGACTCTGCTTATGGGGGAGGAAGCTGAGCTCCAAGAGGGAGGGCAAGGGGCTGACAGTCACTATCATGGGGATGGGGGAGATGGGTGGCGGGGCAGATACAGGCAGCCCAATTCCGGTGGCTGACTGCACACTAAGGGCTGAATTTTCCTGTTCACCCTATGCAGTCACAGCCTGGGGGCACAGTCCCCAGCTGCCCGAGGTCCAGGGGCCACTAGGATCCCAGCCCTTTTCAGGAGACAGCCTTGGGGGAGTCTTCTAGGCCTGCAGAAGTGGAAGGCGCAGGGAAATCTGACTACAGCCTTTCTTAGCTGTGCCTGGAGGCACTGGGTGAACTTGGACCAGTCCCACTTTGCCCTCAGGCCTCAGTTTCTTCATCTGGACAATGAGGACTGTGAATGTGTAATCTCTTAGGTCCCTTCAACCTAACCTGATGCAATGCCAAGCATAAGAAGTTCACCAGTCCAGAAAAAAAAAAAAAAAATCCAGCAAGGCCTTGGAGCAATACTTTTTCCCCAAGAAGAGGCTTCATTTTATTTTCCTTAAAAAAAACATCTAATGATCAGCTACATTTTCTGGGGAAAGTGCCTCCCCCTTAGAATATCAGCGTGTGAGGTCAGAAGAACTGTTTTTGAGCTCGCTCCTTGTAACATTTCTGCTCTGTAGCTCCCCGGCTTCCGGTACAGGAGGCATAAATCTACCATAGTTGCATTTTTAAAAACTGGATTTTGAAGGTCAGGCAGGGAGATTCTGCCTTAGTCAGCTGAAGTAGGGGAAGGGAGGAGAGGAAGAAGGGATTTAGGAGAAAATAGCACGATTCACGGCCATGCCCGTGATCCCCTGGGAATGAATACTTGATGACTCCAGCTACAAAAGCAAACAAGATTTGGAAGATTAAACTCTAATTACAAAAAAGTATGAATTTTGAAAGGGCCATAAATGCATCATTGGATTTTTAATATTCTAAACAGGTCATAGAGGTCGACTGGTTAAGCCCACGCACTGTTTGATCCCCACACCAGGTGATCATCCTGCCTGTGTTTGAATACCACCAGTAACGGGGAGCTCACTACTTTCCATGTGACAAGTTCTCTAATATAGCCATTGATAGAGTTAGGGTCTTCTTTTGTTGAGTCACTGTCTGGCTCCTGTACGAGCTGGTCCCCAGCCCCCCAGGTCTGGTGCTCTGGAACCACACACAGAAAATCCACCCCATCTCTTCCCTGGGAGCCCTTCTGGTTTCTGAAGGCAACTTAGTCTGCATCTCCCAATGAGATGCACTCAGTTATCAGTTGCAGACTGTTCCCCAACGCTTTGGCCTCCTAGACCTTGTCTCTCCTGAAACCCTGGGCCCAGCACTGGGCCTGCCAATGCCAGGGGACCTGAGCACATGGAGCAAGGCAGGACCACCCCTCCCAACACACTCTGTCCAGATGCTGAGTCAGCGGGCTGATTCACATAGAATGCGTCATCTTTTTGGCAGGTGCTGTTTGATCTTTTGTCTCCCACCGTGGACGTGTACAGCTGGCTTTGGGGTTTTAGCCTGATTTCTTTTCTTGGAGTGGCAGGGCCCCTGGGGAGAGGCACAGAGAAGACAAGTAAAGAGCTTTCCGCGTATGTTTATCTCTGTAGGCTTTGCCCACCCTCTGTAGCTGCCCAAATGTGTCCCAGCCCGGTTCACTACGCAGTGTCCTTGTTACACACCCCCACCCCTGCCTTTGTCCGGCTCGGCGCCACCAGCCCGCCAGCTCAGCCAGCACTGATGCAGCTGGAACAAGCTATAATAGAAATGATTGAGAGCAGTATCCCGTAGCCTGATTAAGGATCACTCTCCCAGGTGCAGAGGAGGGGACAGGCTGGTCCACAGGTACAAAGTTACAGTTAGATGGGAGGAACCCGTTCTGTTCTCCATGGCACCGCAGGGCGACTGTAGTTAACAATAATGCATTGTGTATTTCCAAATAGCTAGAAGAGAGAATTTTGGATGTTCTCACCACAAAGAAGTGATAAATGTTTGAGATGATGGATTTGCTGATTACCCCGATTTGATCATTACACAATGTGTACATGTACTGCAGCATCACACTGCACCCCAAACTATGTACAATTATCATGTGTCAATTAAAAATAAAATAAAAGAATTACTCTCCTGGCAGTAATTCTTTTATTTTTTTGAGACAGAGTCTCACTCTGTTGCCTGGACTAGAGTGCCGTGGTGTCAGCCTAGCTCACAGCAACCTCAGACTCCTGGGCTCAAGCGATCCTCCTGTCTCAGCCTTCTGAGTCGTTGGGACTACAGGCATGCGCCACCATGCCTGGCTAATTGTGTCTATATATTTTTAGTTGGCCAATTAATTTATTTCTATTTTTACTAGAGATGGGGTCTTGCTCTTGCTCAGGCTGGCTTTGAACTCCTGACCTCGAGCAATCCTCCTGCCTTGGCCTCCCAGAGTGCTAGGATTACAGGTGTGAGCCACTGCGCCTGGCCCTGGCTATAATTCTTTAATGGGTGTGTACATTCAGTCAATTATAGGCTTATGATAAAATCATGGCTAATAAAATCATATCTAGTAAAATCAGGCCACAGTTGATACAGAGGTCTTCCCAGGCCTCCCTGAAGTCCAGAAGCATCCACCCCATCAGTTGGCCCCCCTCACCTTCCCATTTAGGTTCTTGTTGGGAAGAGGTTTGAGGCCAGCCAATCCTAAGTTGCCTATCATGGGTTTACAAATAGACAAATGTTACTCACACTGTCGTCACAGTTGCTCATGCCATTGGCTATGCTGTCTACATGTCACTCCAAAGTTGCTTAGCTCTAGACTTTAGCTCCAACTGTTTAGGTGAATGAGCCTTTAAAAAAAAAAAAAAGTTTGGAGCCAGATCTGCCTCAAGTCAAACCTACTTTTTCCTGTGCAGAGACCGATGGTACCTGCTGATGTGTGTTTGACACCTACCTTTACTCCAACTAACAATTATTTTAGATCGGCGGTTCTCAGTGGAACTGCACAATGGAATCACCCGGGAGCTTTGAAGATTACCACTGCCTGAGTCCCACCTCCAGAGGTTGTGACTGACATCATCGGGGTGCATCAGGATTTTCAAAACTCTCCAAGTCGTTTCCATGAGGCGTCCAAGTTGAGGACCACAACTTCTGAATTTACAAATTGCCAGCTTGCATGTTAGCCCAGTTGATCCTCATTGCATCTGTCTGCCATTGTCAGAGTATTGGTAGCCTTCTCAATTTATAGAAGAGGGTAGGGGCGGGCAAAGGACTCTTAGTTAGCAGGCTTTTGTTGGCACTGAGCTGAAGTCTGCTTGCTTATCATTTCTTCCTTTGTCCTGTATCTTATTTCTAAGGCAACATATGGTAAGTTGACCCCTCCTCTATAAGACAGCCCTTCAAACATTTGAAAACCAATATTGTGTCTCAAATGTATCTCCTTATAGTAAAAGGTCCTTTGACCTTGCACACAGGGAGGTTTCAGATACCTGACTGTTACCTTGTGCTTCTCAGGTTGGTGCAAGCTGCCCTCTGGGACAGGCTGTGGTGTGGACAGACACAGAAGCCACTGGCTCCAGTTTTACGCCGAGATTCGGGGAGAAACGTTAATATTTACTGAGTAATCGACCCTCCTTTTCTCTTCCTCCTTCCCTCACTCCTTCCCTCCCTGCCTTTCTCTGTCTTATTTTCAATTCCTCTCTAAATCTCCTGCTTTGAAAGTAAAGTGGGTGTCCATTTAATTTTCTCTAATTTTAATTTCTTTCTTTTTGTTGTTGTTGTTTTATAGAGATAGATAGGCTTTTGCTATGTTGCCCAGGCTGGTCTCAAACTCCTGGCTTCAAATGATCTTCCCACCTCAGCCTCCCAAAGTGTTGGCATTACAAGAATGAGCCACCATGCCCAGCAGAATGTCTATTTAAATACATACATTTATATTAAAATATGTGTGTGCATGTGTGTGTGTGTATAAATAATGGATTTTGTTAATAAAACAAGGTATGAATTTAACCCTATGAAGCCCCCAGTGAGGGTTTCTCAGGCCAGAAGCGTTCATGTTATATAGCACCACCCGCTGGTCAAGAGCGGTATTGCAAGGCACCACTTGGCCATTATAATACTCAAAAATTCCAGTATTGGCAAATATAAAGAAAGACAAGAACCCAGTCGTGGTAGATATCATAGCAGAATTTCTTCAAGGAAGCAACAAAAGAAAGGAGGCTTCAGAATTGTGAAAACATCACATAGTTAAAAAACGGGCTTAAAAAAGTCAACACTTATCTGGACAAGTCTTCTATTGAGAATGTTGATGGACTTTTTTTCCAGGACATTCTATTTCTTATTTTATTTATTTATTATTTTTTAGAGATGAGGATCTTGATATGTTGCCCAGTATGGCCTCAAACTCCTGGGCTCAAATGATCTTCTTGCCTCAGCCTCCTGAATAGCTGGGACTATAGGCATATGCTACGGTGCCCAGCTCATTTCGTGTTTTTAATTGAAGTTCATAGTAGATGAATGGGATTTAGGTTTTTGCTTTACAGACAATTTTGCTAAAACATAATTATGAAATACCCTTAACTAGCCTTCTGTGTCCTCTTGAAAGTCTTTTGCTCTTTAGCTTCAAAGTGTTGATTATTTGGGAGAAACCAAGATAGCAACACTGCATGGAGTTTAAATTCGTGGCATTAGAGAGTTCATTGAGGCAGAAAAGGTGAAACCTGCAAAGGTCTGGATTGAGAAGGGGTTTGTTAATGGACTTTAGGGCTCACCAACATCCTTGTTCCTCCCCTTCTTCACGGTAACTGAGCCAAAGGATCTGCCTAGCCCCCTTGCCCATTGGTTGGAGCCGTAGGATTGAGCTCCGGCCAATGGGACGAACATGGCTGATGGCGACTGCATGCCTCCTCCAGGCCTGTCCCCCGCAATCCTCCCCATCACACACTCCTCCAATCTCGCTTTCCTTCTACCACAGCCTTGGAGGCTACATACTGAAGATGGTAGTGTCACAGATGTAAGAACCCTGGATTCCTAAATCAATATCGGTCAGAGAGCTACCCAACCTGCAATGCACTGTGATATGAATGAGAAATAAATGATCATTGTGCTGCCATTAAAATCTTACAGTTGTTTTTTAGAGCTAGAGCTACGCGTGCTCTAACAACTCTAGAAACTGCTATCTTGAAATAAGATGCCACTATAATAACAAGAAGTAAATGTGTAAATACTGAGTAGCAGGAGGTGAGGACCCTGATATTAGGAGGCTAACGATGACAATCTGTGCTACGCGGTGGCAAAACATTGGGTAGTTAGCAGACCCTGCGCTGTCTGCTACTGAGCAAGCCTGGGGGCATTTGTTGGAAAGAATCTAAGCCATCGTGTGTGTTCTCTGCTATTGCCTGTATTTGGCAAAAGCAACGCAAGGAAGAGAGGCGCTTGTGAGAAGTGGCTGGTTTGCAAAGAGAAAAGAGAGGAAATAAGCAGATTCCAGGTAAGTTAAGCCTGAGAGAGAAGAAAACACCAGATGCTTCTAGAGCCCAAGTAGCAAAAATAGATCTGGAAAGATTTTCTGCTGCCAAGGCCCATTTAGACCTAGCCAGGTGAGATGATTAGATTAAGGGTGTGGCCTTCCCAGTCAAGTCAAATCCCATTGCGCCATATCCCAAAGAACCCCTAATCTGGTCTCTCAGGGGGAGGCCTTCCAGTGGACCCTGGAACCACCCCTCTGGTTGTTGGTAGAAATGGCCTGAAACTGCAGCTGGAAGCTTCCCCCAAGGGCTGGGGCGGCCTCTGGGGAGTCCTGTCTGGTCCCTGCTCATCCGTGATGCGAGCTGGCTTCTTCTTCCCCCTCCCCTTGCTGCCTCCTTCGCTCTGTGACCTCTGCTGTCCACCCACACTTCTGCTCTTTTCTGCTGCCCCCACAAGGCCAGGCCCCTCTCCCCAGAGTCCTTTTGGAACTGGGGTTCCTCCTCTGTACCTCTTCAGGGCTGGGGCCCCGCTGTGCTCACTCAGGGCCCATCCTCGACCAGGCACCAGCGTCCCTGCATTCCTTCGCTGCTGTGTCTGCATCGTCGTGGCAACAGCCCAGGATACACCCGCACTAGACACCGCCAACCCCAAAAGGGCAGGAGCTGCGAGTCAGCACGCCCCACGCCAGGCCCTCTTCCCACCCACCAACTAAAGAAAGCACGGGTCATTATTCTGTTCTTGGTTTCTTTTATGATGTAGGCTCTAATTTTATTTCTTTTCTTTTTCTTATCAATATATCCTAGTTGTATATATTTTGGGAGTACATATGATTTGTTAATACATGCATACAATGCGTAATGTTCAAATCAGGGTAATAAGAATATCCATCCCCTCGAACATTTATCTTTTCTTTGTGTTGGGAACGTTCCAATTCTTCTCTTCTAGCTATTTTGAAATACACAGTAAATTTTTGTTAACTATAATTTCCCTGCCACTGAGTACCAGAAACTATTCCTTCTGTCTAACTGTGTATTTGTACCCATTAACCAAATTCTCTTCCTCCTCCTTTGCCCCTTCCTCTGACAACTACCATTCTACTCTCCACTTCCATGATCCACTTTTTTAGCTTCCACGTATGAGTGAGAACTTGCAGTATTTGCCTTTCTGTGTCCGGCTTATTTCACTTAGAGTAATGACCTCCAGCTTCATCCACGCTGCTGCAAATGACAGGATTTCGTTTTTTATGGCCGGATAGTATTCCATTGCGTATCTATGCCACATTTTCTTTATCCATGCGTCTGCTGAGAGACACCCAGGTTAATTCCATATCTTGGCTATTGCCAATAGGGCTGCCATAGCATGGGAGTGCAGAGATCTCTTCGATCTACTGATTTCCTTTCTTGTGGATATGCACCCAGCGTGGGATTGCTGGATCATATGGTAGTTCTAGCTTTTGTTTTTCGGAGGAAGCTCCACACTGTTTTCCATAATAGCTGTAATCTACATCCTCACATTTATTGTCCTGTCTACAAATATTCCAGCACTTTCTATGAGGCAGTGTGGTGCCACTGTGGCTAGATTTAGCCTGCCTGGCTTCGAATCCCAAAGTCTCCACTTATCAGCTACATTGATGCAAAGCATGTGATTTATCTCCTCCGTGCCTCAGTTTCCTCCTCTGTGAAATGAGGACAATAATGGCACTTACCTCATAGGACTGATGTGAGGATTACAGAAGCTAACATGTAGGTAACCTCTGAGGTAAAGTTCCTTTAATGTGAATATCTCCCTGTTTACAAAGCATCTCTCCTGACCCACGTCACAATCCTGGGAGACTCAGGCTCACTCGGCAGGCTCGGACCCCAGATACAAGGTCACAGGAGTACATACTCTCTGATGTCCGCCCTAAACCTCAGTCTCCTCATCTGTAAAATGGGTGGCATAGTTCCTGGGCTGCCTCCCTCAGGGTTGTTGTGAGGTCCTGCAGAGATAGCGGAGGCTAGGCACTTCGAAGACTGCAAACCTGTCATGGCAAGCTGGCGGTTAGAGATGACAGAGCGTTTCCTTCTCTGTTCTGCTGGGATCCTGGGATCCGTGAACAGCAGTGGCTGTCCTTGGCTCCTTCTCTGCTCCCAGCTTAGGAGATGCTTTCTCTCCCCTTGGGCCTCGCCAGCCTCAAACGTGGTGGGTGTGGAGGCCTGGGGCTGTGGAGAAGGGGCTGACGGTGGCAGTCAAGACTGGACTGTCCCCACTCAGTGGTCTCATTTCTCCCTGCAGGTTCTTCTCATAAGGCTCATCCACCTCTGTGTTTTTGCTCGATTAATTACTGGCTCTCCTCACCAGACTGGCCGTGTGCCGCGTTCCCCACTCTCCCCAGAGCTCGGGCAGAGCCTGGTACCTGGCAGGTGCTCAGCACATGTTTGCTCAATCAATGAAAAATGACGCGCGAGGATCCGGAGGATCCGGAGGAACGCTTATGGCCAGAGTCCCAACTCCCTGCTTGAGGTCACTTCCCCTCAGATGTCACTGTTTACACCAGAGGCCCCGCCACCAACAAAATCACAGAATGTGGGAGCGTTCCAGGCCCAGTTCTGTCATGCAGAAAACTGAGGATTGGCGACACGAAGTGGATGCCCGAAGTCACAGGAGGTCCAGGGGTGACCAACCGTCCCAATCGCTAAAATGGGAACGGTCTGAGGCAAACCCGGACGGCTGGAGCTGGGCTGGAGCCCAGGAACGCTTCCCTTCCCTAGTCCCTGCACCCCACAGATGGGGGAGACCATCGTGCAGGGCTAAAACGTCCCGCGCCCCGCCACCAGCACGTGGGCGTCCGCAATGTGAATCCACTGCGTGAGAACTCCTCCGGAGCGTGGCCCGGTCGCAGCCGCGGCCGGCGCGTGGCGGCCCCCAGTGGGGAGGACGCGGCGGCCTCAGAGGCCGCGCGCGGGGCGCGGGGCGCGGGCGGCGCCCCAGTGGAGACGCGCGGGCGGTTCGAGCGGGCGCGGGGCGCGGGGCGCGGGCGCCTCGGGGCCTGGGCGCGGCAAAAAGGCCGGCCGCGGCATTGAAAATACCAAGGAAGTTGATCTGGGCCGGGGCCCAAGAAGTGACGAGGGGAGGAGAGCCGCGGCGAGCGGAGGGGGCGGCGCGCGCAGAGCTCGCCGGCCGCAGCGGAAGCGCGGGCGGCGCGGATGCGGCCTCCGGGGCGCGCGCGGCGCTAGCGCCCGGGTCCCGGCGACCCCGCGGCCTCTCGCCCGCCGGCAGACTCCCCGCCCGAGCCCCCCGGCCGCGGGCGGCGCGTAGGGCGGCGACGGGCGCCCGAGGACCTGCCGGCGGCTCCAGCGCAGCTCCAGCGCCCGCGGCCGCCCGAGGCCGGCAGGAGGGACGATGAAAGGTAAGCCGCGCGGCCCGCCTGCAGGCGCCTGGGAGGACGGGACGGAGCCCTGCAGTCCGGGGAGGCAGCATGGGGTCGCTCACAGCCCTGCTCTCGGCCCTGGCTCTATCCTCAAAAACAATTTTAAAGTCCAGAGAAGTTTCTGATCCCTGTAGCCAGTCAGCGCAGAAAGGTGTCATCAGCCCAACTTTCCAGCAGTGTAAATCCCCCATCTGAGGACAGTCCCTGAGCCTCCTGCAGCCCCTGCCCGGCCTTCTTCCCCCAAGGGCCAGGCCTAGGGTCCTCCAGGAACTTCAGCCCTTCCTGCTGTGTCAGAGCCCCTCAATACCCCAGCGCTGTCCCTCCCAACCTTTGACCTGCCCTCTGACCTCCTTGGGACAAGCAGCTGGGGAAGCCCTGTGGTCCAGCGCCAGGGAGTGGCCGCCATCTCCAAGGGGCCTTGTGGCGGGTTCGTGAGATGGGAATTAAAACCACAAGTGGTCCCAGGTGGCATTTCCGGGACCTGGATTTCTTGATGCCCAGGAGAGAGCACGCTTGGTCGCTTGGTGGTCAAGCTCGCTGTGAGGCTAGAGGGGAAGCAGCCTTTGGGGTCACCCTGTGGGACAGGGAACCTTTGAGGTTTTTTAAATGCCATCTCCGGTGCCTTTCGGTAATCCTCCTGCGACAGCCCAGGCAGACGCTTGGGTGCCAGCAGGAGAACCCCACCACCTCGTGGACTTCCTGAAAGTTGAAACTGAACAGGGCCTTCGAGAGCATCCCTGACGCTACACTACGCTCTCAGGTGGCGTTGGCAGGTTTGGGGGCAGCGGAAGTGGGCCCAGACTCTGGAGCCCGCCTCAGCCAGGCGGCTGCTTGTCTGTTTTACATGTAAGGCTGAGGGTTTGTTGGAAGAAAGGGCCCCACAGAAAAACCCCTGACCCAATGCAGCCTCTACGTTGCCTAGCTGAGGAAACTGAGGCCCAAGCAGGTAGGGCTGGCTTCATGGGTGTGCAACCTGTGCCATCCCACAGGGTCCCCCACTTGGCTTAATGTTCTGCTGGTGCTGTCTTAAAATTCTTGATAATTTTTAAACCAGGGAATCCCCCTTTCATTTTACACTGGGCCCCGAAAATTATGTCGCTGGTCCTGTGGACGGGTGAAGTGACTGCTTAAGAGTCACAGCGAGTCAGGGGAATAGGAGCCCAGGGCTCTTGGCTTCTAGGCCGGAGTATCTATACCCCTGACTCTCTGCTGCTGCCTTCCCTCTGGCCTCTGGCACTTTCTGTCCGTGCCTTCTGGTGGCCTCACCACGTCCTGGGCTGTCTGGGACGAGCCGGGCAAGTTATAATCAACCCCAGGGAGTTCCCTTGGTGGCAGTGAGGAGCCTCGCCCCTGAGCTCCTGCTCCTAGCTGCCACATCCTTGGGGCTGTGCCCTCCCCGGTCACAGGCCAGGGCAGGCCATCAGCAGAGCCTCCACCACGGTTGTGGACCACATCTCACCACGGGCCTCGGCTGCCTGGTCCGGGCCGCAGTGGTGTGGTAAGATCTGCGTGTCCTTGGGGTGGTTGGGGCCCTGCTGCTGTAGCAGACAGAAACTGTGAGAGACTTACAGCGAGGGCTGGACAGCCAGGGCTGAAATCCTGTGCAGTGGGGAGAAAAGAGCTGGTGAGAATGAAGAGTGGATATTTAGGAGGAGGTGCCCGAGGAGGACATGTGGACTCATGTCATCGGGTTCTGGAGCCTCCTTGCTCGTGGCAGAAGCCCGAGCCCTGCCTGTCACCTCCTTTCCTGCTCAGAACCCACAGCCTCACCACGTGCAATTCCTGTCCACTGAGGCCTTGAGGGCGGCTCCTGCGTGTTTTCCCTCCAGCCTCAGGAAACCCTCTGTGATCTCCTGGAACATCCCGGGGACTGGAGGGCTGCAGGGATGGGGGAGGCGGGGCTGAGTCCCAGGCAGGAAGAGCCGCCACCTCTACCTGCGATGGAAACGCCGGGCAGACAGCAAATATTTGGCCTTTCAGATCTGTGGGGTGTGAAGAACCAGGATTTTTCTCACCCAAATGGAAAAAGTAAAGTGCCTGGCAGAGCAGGCGGGCAGCCCACTCCAGAAAAGCCCTTCCTGTGTTCTTCCAAAGGCCACGCTGATCTTCCAGTTACATCCCCGCTCAAAGCAAACACAGTGATGTGTTCTGGGGGTTAGGGGCGTTGGTGAGGACGGTATTTAAGAAAACACGCTTGTTGGGCGGCCCAGCCCCTCAGCGGCCGGGGGCCAGGGCCCACTCTGCCAGCCCAGCCACTTCCGCCCCGAGGCCCCCCTGCCCCACAGCCAGCTGGCTGGGCCTCCTAGGCTGCCACATCCTTTCATGCAAGCTGGCACCTGATCCCTGTCACACATGCTCCTAGGGGACACTCGGCTGCCACCAGCCTCTTGGTGACAGGCCCACCTCGGAGCTTCCCGCTGGCTTGTCTGAGCCATTAGCAGCCACCTGTGCGATTGTTCCCACACCTGCGGTGGGCAGGTCTTGACGTGGGAGCCCTCCTGGATCCCCGAGACACAGCGTAATTCACTGTAAAGGTGACAGATTTGAGAGTCAAAGACATGGGCTCTAGTCCTGGCCTGTCATCTGCCCTCTCCGAGCTGTTCCTTTGCTGGGTGGTCCCTGAGCACCACTTGGGGAGTGGAAGTGACTCAGTGGAGTGGTGGCTGGAAGTGGGCCTGCCACACGGCCTCTCCTCTGCCCCCAAGAGGCCTGTGCCCGGCTGCGGTGGACAGGGCACAGCCACAGCCCGCTGTTCCCCGAGCATGGGTGGAACAACCCCTCCCTACAGAATCGGAGTGCGGTGCCCACACGACATGGGCAAGGTGGGCAGGGAGAGGGGGGAGCTGTGAAAATATAGCAGTGAGATCCCAGCTCGCCCCACTTGGCTTGGCTGGCTGGGAGGAGATGATGTCCACTCGGGTGGGGCCAGCCTGGGTCCTTCAGAAAGCCTGGACCCCTCCCCAGCCCCCCACTGCAGGAAGAAAAGGAGCTGACGTGGTGGAAAGAATCCCAGACAGCCCGACTCGGGGAGCCCGGAGTCCCCGGGGACTCAGGTTGGAGATGGACTCCAAACCCTCAGACACACGCCCCCAACAAAAGGGTCACCGCTGCCACCCAGTTGGGGTAATTTTAATAACTAAAGACTCAGTGAAGGACAGGCTGCTGCTCTGGGTGTTAGAATTGGCGCACAGGGCAGCATGGCCGCTGTGCTGCTCACATACGCCATCTGTGTTCATAATGTTTATGTTAGGGTGTGTGCACGTGTGTGTGTGTGTGTGTATGTGTGTGTGTATGTGTAGAGCACCAAAGCCTGAGGTCAGGCCAAGCCCTGTCCCCTGTCACAGACCTGCTTTAGCACTGGGATGAAGTCCCTGGGATGCCCTGGGCCCCTGGGCTCAGCCCCCTTGTCCAAGTGGACCGGCAGGCCCCACAGGGTAGTGCTGGAGTGTGAGCTTCATGCTCGAGGGGACTCTGCCTGCCCCCTGGCACTTGTGGGGTGTTCATTACACCTGTTCAGTGTGGACATCTGAGCACCCGCTGGGCCAAGATCCTTCAAAGGCAAGACTTGGACCACCGCATCATCACAACCTAAAGACGAAGACCAGCTGCCAGGCCAGGGCGGGTGTCTGCGTGTGTCTAATGAGCAAGAAGGACACAGCGAAGAGCTCAGACACTTTCTCAAGGAGCTCACCCTTTACTAGGGTGCTGAAGATTTATTCCCAAATCACTCAAAAAAGACTAAAAGTGGTAAATGTCCTAAGGCAGGCCCCAAGGAGGGAGTTTAGGGTGGCGTTGGATCTTTTCCTTCCTTTGCTCCTAACTCTCTCCAGACTCCAGGATGAGTCCGTGGTTTCAGCCACGGGTTTCTTGGTCCTTACTGGACGCCTGTCCCCTGAACAGTCACTCCCGGTCTCATAGATTTGACACACGGGAACGGTGCCAGACCTACGTTTCCAACAACGTCCTCCACACCTGCCGGAGGACACTGCAGACCCCTTCCCCAAGCTCCAGAAGAGAGACCTTCACCTCCACCTGAACCCAAGCGAAACGGCTGGTTATTCTGGGATGTTGCCCCGCACTTTGGGCAGGAAGCATGCTAGTCAGAAGGCAAGCAGGGATGCTTCCCGCCCTCCCAGCAGAGACGAGACATGCACACCTGAGACGGGAACTGAACAATCAAGGCAGGTGACGCAAAAGAGAAGTGAGTGGCGTGTGCAGTGGATTCAACGCGAGTCTCCAGGAAGAAAGAGAACGCTTACGTTGGAGCAGCTCAGAAAGGCTTCAGGGAGGAGAAGGACGGGAAGACTTGGAATGGTCGTTCAGGAGTGGCAGGAAGTCGTGCTGGCAAGGACTGGGTGTCAGGTCCTCTGGGACGTGTGGTTAGTGGGGGTGGTTGAGATTGCTTGGAGTTTAGAGTTTGCCGAGAGAAGCCTCGAGTGCCCCACAAAGGACTTTCCGATTGTGTCCTGTTGACATTGGAGAGCCCGGGGAGGGGGCTTGTCGGCCGGAGGCCTGTGTGCCGCTTCTCCCTGGAGACTTTCTCTCGTGGCTTGAGCCCGTGTTGGGAAATCTCTCCTTTTAGGGAGTGGGAGGAAAGAAAATGAGCTTGTGGAAGGAGCCAAGGGGAGCGGTCAGGGACACGGGCAGAGAACTGTGATGGTTGTGTCATGGAAATCAAGAGGAGAAAGTTCCGAGAGGGAGGAAGTGACCCATGGTGTTGACTGTGGATCAGCAAAGTCAGCGTCGGGTGCACCGATGAGAAAGCCAGGCTGCAAGGGGCAGAGGGGACAGAGGCGACAGAGGAAGGAGGGAGGAAGGAGGCAGTCAGAGAAGCAGGGTCTGGCACGAAGGGCTTTCACGGCCAGGGTGGCCTGGGCTCATTGGAAGGTAGAGGGACAGAAGAGAGGGGGCCTGGGGGACCCTGGGGACGGATGGGGTGGCATTAGACTCACCTCGGAAAGAAGAAGGGTTCTCCACTG